ACAGTTGTAAGAATTTAAACATCCTATGAATAGTTAAAAAAAATAACAGCTATTCTGTCTTAGGAAAGAGCTAACAAGCAAATATAATTGTCCTTAGAACAAGTAAGGCAATTAAATTATGGGCAGTAGTAGCTAAGCACTGATATTTGGAAAAAAATATGTATTATTAATCTAAGTAGAGAATTAACCATTATGTTTCTGCTTTTTTTTTGCACAGTTCATTGATTATATATTTAGAAATACCAAACACATGTTCTATCTATGTATACAAAAGGACAGCCTTAACAAAGCATAAAGGGAATAACTCTGAAATCAATTAAAAACAGTAATTCTGAGAATATATTCGAATGATCATCAAGAATAGAAAGCAGTCAGTACCTTATTAAATACAAGTCTCAAAAGACAGGCAGTGTGCCAAGAGAATTTGAGGAACCTGTAAATGTTATTTTAGCTGTCTCTTCCATATTGAGAATTTTCTTAAATAGAAGAGTAAAAGAACAAAGAGGATAAAAGAAGTGTACACACATGTGCATTGCATAAAATTAAACATTAATAAATGGTAACAGTGGTTTTCCAATACCACCTGATCTCAGAAATATAATTAAATATGGGTTAGAAATAGCATATTGTAGCTAACGTTGCAAAGTGGAAAGAGAGAAAGCTCCATCTAGTGGTTATATCACAGCATTTCAATTTTAAACGTTTTGAGAATTGTATCAATAATTTATTAATACACATACTCTCTTCCAGTTAGAAAATGTAAAATGAATACAAAACCCCAGGATCATACAACAACTAGGAATGATGTAAAATAATTAGAAATGGTTAATTAAGGAAATCTTCCAGGCATTAAAAGCAGGATACCGCTGATACACAGGGTGGATCACTAATTGACAAAGTTCCTCCACCTTGAAAAAATGCCTTTGGGCATCAGTAACACATTAAATATGATTATGGGGATATGTAATTGAGCATGTGAGGGTCTCCTTTCTTTAGTGGCACTACTCATAAAGCTTGCATTGAAATGCTTTCCTCAGCTGGGGCCTAAATGAGGGAGTAAGTTCTGTATATATACACCAACGAATCTCAACCAGAGTGTTGCAGCACCCTGAAGTGCTCTGAGTTCCTTTCAAGGATACTGTGGGATGCTACGCCCCATTGGTGACGTGTGGGGATTGCATGTGCACCCCTCGAGCATGGTGGTACACCCCCTGCAAAAAGGTGCTATTGACATTGCCAGTGGTACCTGTGGGCAGTTGCCACTTGCCAATCCCCACTCATCGCCGATACCGCCGGTGGCATCTGCCAGCAGTCCACGATCATCGCCGGTGCTCGCCACCCTCTCCCCCCTGCCGCCGGGAGCATTGCAGTTGCCTGCAGGATCTCCCTCTTTGCCGCTGCCATGCTCCCGCTGCTGCCAGTGCCACCCCCGCCTGTGGGAGCTTGCCGTGCCCCACCAGCCTCCCGGGGCCATGCAGAGTTCATGCTATGCCGTTAACATTGTTAGGCATGCAAATACGAGTCACAAGATAAACCCAGAGATTTCAAATAGTAATCCATAGTGTGGAAAGCATTCCAAGCTGTTGTGGGCTTTCTGAGTTCTTTGCAACAGAAAAGTTGCTCTAGTACTTTCCTGTAGTCAAAAAGCAAGTGAAAATAAGGGGTACCCTGGGTCTAACAAGGTGGAGAATTACTGTTCTGTATGCAGGGGTGGATCTAAGGAGGGTGCACTGGTGCAGTTACACCACCCTTTGATTCCTGCTCTACCCAAACCTGAAAAGCAAGTGCCTGGGAGGGGCAGCATTTCTATTCAGGCAGAGCTGAGAGAGTTAGTTGACTTCATGGCTCATTATATTCTCCCCTATTCTTGTTAATCTCTCTCTACTCAGGTGTTAAGATCCTCTATCCTTCTTAACAGTCTTGATGTTTCATTCTGGTCAAACTATCCTTCTGCAATGTTGCTGTCTGTTAGCTGTCTCTCTTCTAGTTCACAGCCCTGCCGACTGTTTTCAGCTCAGGCTAAAAACCTTAACTCAGATGTGGTAACATTAACTCAGGTGTAGCAATGATTGCCAGTGAAATATTGGTATCATTGCCAAGGCAGTCAAGGCAGCTAGATTTTGTTTAATGAATCTGAATAAAAAATGTTCATTTAACACTAATGATTGAAGGACAAATGTTATCCCTTGACTGTTTTTTTTGCCTTGTGTGCTTTTTTTCAACTTTATATGTCCTCTAGCAAATAAGTGAACATGCCAGTAGGACATTCTTTTTCTCACAGCGTATTAAAGTGTGGAACTCATTGCCACCAGATGTTGTGGAAGCTTACAGTTTAGCCAGATTCAAAAATGGATTGGAAAAATTATTGGAGGAAAGGGGCATCAAGTATCTATTGAGCGTGGGAATAAGGGTCTTGTTATACAGTAAGTCTGGTGGCTTCTAGAGCTCTTTACCCCTGGACTGGCTGTATGTTAGCACCTTTTAAGTGGCTTAAAGTACTCATTATTTGGTTTAAAGTTACACCACTCCAGGGTAGGATTATCTTCAATCCACCTAATTTTGTTCCGGTTCCATTACTGCGTGGCCACTTCCCGTAGCTGTTCTGCCCAAGTTGAAGTTCTCTAGTATCCCAGAATGCTGTGCCCCTTCCTGACACAGGATGAGCAGGGACATTGGGGCACAGTGGGCTGGGCATGGTTCTCACCCCTTGGGGATGTCGGGCAGAATGAGTATTGCAGCCCCAAAGTACCTGGCAGCCTTGGTGCCTCCCACTGTTACCTAGACTGGCTATGTTTGTGCCAGTGGTGGCACAGTGGGTGGTCACCACCTGAGCTCTGGAGAAAAAAGGATCGGGCTCCTTGGAGCTCAGGCAGCACCAATATCCCTGCTCTCAGTGTGGGGCCACAGTGTTTGGTTCAGCGAGATCAGAGCCCCAGGGAAGCTGCTTCCCCAGGTCTCTCCGGTCCTGCTGCAACTGACATGGTGGTGAGCTTGCTGCCTGGCAGGAGGAGCCAAGAGGTCCTGCTCCTAGTCCTGCTCACCAAGCTTCTAGTGGCAAGTCACAGCTGTGCATGTGAAGGACAGTCAGAGCAGAGTTGCCTTACTGTGCAACTGCTCCACTAAGACGATTAACATTTGTTTGGCTTACAGCATGAATGATGAATGATGCGTGCCCCTGGAGGCTGCGGGGGGCACAGCAACCACCTGCAGGCAGCAGTGTTGTTGGCAGTGGGGTGGCAGTGAGCGGGGACTGCCCGCAGGCAAGCCGTGGTGATGTCGGCAGCGAGGATGGGCCAAGTGGGGACTGCCTGCAGGCAGCTGTGGTGGTGTCAGCTGTGAGGGGGGTGGTGAGCAGTGGGTGGCGAGCAGGGACCACCTGCAACCACCAGCAGATGCATTGGCAGCGAGGGGGAGGTGACAACCACCCACAGAAGCTGGTGGCAGCATTGGTGGCGGCCACCAATCTCAGGGGGAGGCACGTGCCCTCCTGTGTCCTGCCGAGGTGTTGCCTGTGGCTTACAGTGTCATGTTTACAAGGCCCCGAGGGCCACAGCCTGTGAATCAGAACTTCCTAGACCAGGGGTAGGCAACGTTTTTTGGCTGGAGTGCCGAAAAAACACAATGTCTACCTTGGAAGGTGCCAGAGTGCCTACATGCTGGAGCCCAGAGCAGCTGTTTGCAGCCTCCCGTCTGCAGCCAGCCCAAGGAGCCCAGTCTGCTTGCAGCATGGCTTGCAGCCTCCCAGCCACCTGCTGGGAGCAGCTTGGGCTCTGTGGCTGGCAGCAGCTGCTTACAGCCTGGGCTGACGGTGGTGTGCCAAGCAAATGGCCTCGCATGCCATGCTTGGCACACGTGCTGGGGGTTGCTGATCCCTGTCCTAGACCATGAATGCTGGAGGCTGCAAGTGAGAGGGGAACAGCAGGAAAAAACCTGGTCATACCCAGTTCCCCCTGCCTTTCACCATCCAACCTCTGCTGCTGTGTGACATGAGGTTGAGGGGGGTTGTTATGAATGTTTCCTAGCCTAGGTCTGAATCAGATCTCACTTGCCGTTCGCTTTGTGGCTCTCAGGTTTCTTCGGCAGCAGCACCACCTGGATGTTGAACAGGACCCCACCTTGAGGGATGGTGACTCCCCTCAGCATCTTGTTCAGCTCCTCATTGCTGTGGATGGCCACCTGGAGGTAACAGAGGATGGAGTTTTTTGGTTGTTGGGGTAGCGTTTCCAGCCAATTCCAGAACTTCGGCTGTCAGGTAGTCTGTCTGCTGTCAAATGGACCGGCGCCCCAGCCCCCACTTGCTCAGTATAATTGCCCTTGCAAAGCTGAGGGTGTGCACAGCCTACAGGAAGACCTACTTAGCCTTAGCCAGGACCTTAAATCCCTGCTTGCCATGACCTGGCTTGATTTCAGTCTTATGTGATGCTGCCCCTCTGCAGAATGGAAAATGGGCAAGGTGGATTTCTGGCCTGACACAACAAATGGCAGCTTTTACGCGCATTTGGCTTTTGCTTCCATCTTAAACTGAACCGTACCTTGCTGCCTAGTCAGTAAAGTTTCTAGCTTCTCCTGAAGTGGAGACAAGCCTGTGTTGTGTTATGGGCTGCCCCTCTGCACCCCCCTTTTCCAAAGCCTAGATCCACCCCTGGCTGCAGGCTGCGCCTATGCCCGGCCGTGCCCGGGGCAGTCCGAGGGGCGAAACTCGCAGCTCGGCCAGGGGAGCTGGGTGCGGGGATCTGCGGCCGGGGAAGGGCAGGAGCGGCCAGGCGGCGCCCGTCAGGCCCCGCAGCGCACGGGGACCCCATGCTCGGTGCCTCGGGCACCTGCGGGGCGGGGGCGAGGAGCAGCCCCCACGGCGGGCGCTCGGCTTGGGGCGGGGGCGGGGCCGCGACTCGTTCCCTGCCCCTTGACGTGGCACCGACTCTCCCATCAGCCATGTTGACTGCGTCGGCGGCGCCGGGCCTGCTGGGTTCACGGGGCGGGCAGCGACAGCGGCAGCGGCTCCTCGGGCTGGGGCAGGGACGTGGGCAGGTGAGTGCGGGCCGGGGGAGCTCTCCCGCCTCCCCTGCCGCTGCTCCGGCCGCGGGGCGGCAGCGTTGGGCGCCGGAGCCCCTCATGCCCTCTTCGTACCCTCTACCAGGGCCGGGGAGCGGTGTGAACATCCCAGCCCGCCGGCGGGTGGGGGAAGTATCCTGGCCACTCCAGAGCAGCGGCCGCCTCAGCCGCGTCTCATCGCGCCCCGGGGCCCGGGCACCAGATGAAGGGGCTGGGGGACGCCGCGGGCTGTAGAGGGCGGTGGGAGCTGTCTCTGCCAAAGCATGACACCCCCCACTTCCCCAAGGAGCTCTGGTAGGGGGAGCCGCAGCTCACACAGCAAAATTGCCCTTCTGCAGCCAGCCAGGGGAGCCTGAGAGGTGGGCAGCAGGTTTCTGTCCCCAATCCCTACAAACCCAGGGCACCACAGCTAGGGCTGGTTGCCACATGGGTCTTTGCACCCCGGTGTCTTGGCTGGAATAAAGAGCGGTGTGGGTCCGAGTGTGGGGGCAGCTGTCCCGGCCCTGGTTGCTTGCATCTCTGTGTCACAGGGTGGATGTGGCACCTTTGCACTTATCTCTGGCAGCACTGGGGAATTTGTACTGCTTTAACTATACCAGGTCTTTCCCTTAGATTAGATTTCTCACCAGAAGTGGGTTGCCAAAACACATGAAAGGGTTGCAAATAAACTTTGAAAATTAATTCTCCTTTGAAGGAGAAAAATGTGGGGAAACTGTGAGTTTTCCCTTGCAGGCTGGCAAAACTCCAGCTTGGGGCCCCCTTGCCCTACACACTGGGGCTGATGGTGGGGGCAGGAGAGATGGGCACGGAGTCAGGACTGCCCATCGCAGTTTACAGACGGGTCCTGGTGCAAAAAAGGTTGAGGACCACTGTCTTAGATGGCCTGTGACAGTGGTTTCCACAGTGTGGTCTTCAGATTTTACTGGGTCCTACTGTTCTTTTCCACTAACATGTTAGACTATAAAGTACATGGTGGGTCTAGGAGAAATGTTGAGGGGTGACAGTGTCTGGTAGGTTATAACATATGTGAACTGCTGGTATGGATACCATACACTGATCTTAAAATCACCTCTTAATGGAGGGAATTTGGGGAGCAGGACTAGGACAGGAAATTAGTGGAAGTGTTGCCATCCATTTATTAATACTCAGTTACATGCTGTCATTTTGATAACTTGAGAGTTATTCTTGGTACCTGTCAAGTACTGCCTTGAAATAATAGTATCTGATAATTTACTTAGAGACAGATAAGAAAGGATCACTGAATTAAAAATCAAGTTAACAGTGGCTCAGTAGATTGATTAAAGTACAGTAGATATATTTTATTTCTGAAGGAGAGTGCACTCCATTAGGCTGTTTTTATGGTATTTAAATGTTATTGTATGTCTCCTGTCCCACTGGGATTCCTATCAAAACAAGATGTAGCTCTCTGGAGGTTTTGGTAGTCTCATATTTAGTGGATATTTTATTTCAAAGTAGATTAATAGGTTTCTGAGAGAGGTTTGGAAATATTTAAATATGTAGTTTGTATGTTCACAAATGCTGTAATAAATGGGGGAGGAGGGGCTCTTAATATCTGTTTCTGAAGAAACCATATCACTGAATGCATGTCTGCCTACATCAATCAGTCAGACTAACAGCTGTTTCTAGAACGGTTATTCAAAGGCATGCATTTAAAAAAACAGTATAATTATGGGGTAGGTTTCTGTAATATAAGACATCAGATGTATTTGTCATATACCAAGGATAGAATCCTAGAAAGTGTTAAATGTCTTATACTTTCAGTGACTACTTAAACAACTAGGGATATTTACATGAGTAAACATTTTTAAGATGAAGTCCCTGTGTCAAGCTTATGACCCTTGTTTCAGTGAAAAAGGCATGTGGGTAACCACAGTAACTTACCACTGCAAAATGCATTGTCTGACAGTCTGTATCCTATTTTGGTATTAAATTGTAACACGCAGATGTAGTTGGCTTTTGGAAGGGAAGGAAAGGATGGAAAGAATGGGGAGGAGGGAGATGGAACCAAACATGCTTTGTAGACAGGACTCTTAAGAGTTGGAATAGTATTTAACTTGTCGCCCACCATGAGTATCTGTCTGCCTGCATGCTTAATAGTACTATTAGTCATCTTACAACTCTGTGTGCACTTTGCCCTCTGCACAGTATGTAGCCAAGTAATAAAGGGACAAATAATTTAATGTGCTTTTATTTCAAAGGATTAGCAGCAGGAGGGGCATTCTCCTGTAGTGGGAACCCTTCCAGAAGGGGTTTCTGGTGCAGCAGAATGCCCCTGCCTTGCCCCCACCACTGTGGGTCAGCTAGGAGTAATACAGGGCGAGACGGGCTGCCCTGCTGAGCCTTGCTGTGACAGCAGAGTGCCCCTCCCTCACCTACACTGCTCCACACTGACCTGTGGGGTGAGGCAGGCTGCCTTGTCATGGTGGCAGCACTCACGGAGGCTTGCTGTGATGGCAGAATGCCCCTGCTTACTCACATTTACCTCCCTGTATTCCTGTAGGTTGGCTCAGAGGAGTACAAGGAGTGGGGACTCCAGGAGGGTTCCCACCATGGGAGAATGTGTGCCCTGCTAGTCAGAGGGCTGATGGGATGGGGAGGTATTCCCTAGGGACTGGAACCGTCCCCTGGTTATCTGTGGTAGGTGCTGTTATTCAGCAGCTGCTAACTCCCAATTGACACTCTGGCTGGGGAGAGAGCAGACTGACAATAAATGGGTTCCCATCATGGCGGGGGTGTCCCAGGGAGCATTCCTCTATTGCCTCCTTGCTGGAGAACTTGCTTGTGAAGCTCTCCAGCTGTAGGGCTGCAACATGACTGCTTCAGTGCTCAGACTATTTTTTTACCAGTAAGAATTTTAGAGAATTCTTCAGGGGTGTATGTTGTAGTTGTGTTGGTCTAAGGACATCAGCAGACAAGATTCTTTGGGTAAATCCAATATCTTTTATTAGACCAACTCATAGTTAGAAAAATTCTTCTTTGCAAGCTTTTGGGTATAAATACCCTTCGGCAGGCTGAGGAAGCATCTGCAGTTGGTGAGTGCTCTTCCTGGATGGAATGAATAGTAAAGAAGCCAGAAGCTGGTATGCATGCAAGAAAGCCAGTCAGTGAAGATGTAAATTGAGGAGTCAGTGGGTGAGAGAGAGGCTGGTGGGGAGGGAAGAGGGGAATGAATGTAGCTGGTGAATGAATGTAGCTGGAGTCAGATGTTAGGCAGGTTATAATGTGTCATAAATCCAATATGTATACTTAGTCCATGATTTTTTTGTATCCAGTAGGTTGATGAAGTGAAGTTCATGGGCTTTCTGTGAAAGGTGTTTTGTAAATTCTCTCCAGTCTCTCAGTTCTAATCCTCAAAGGGAGAGTGGTTTTCTTGTGAGAAATGTGCCCCCACAGGTAACTGGGTATTCTTGTCTTCGATAGATTTCTGGTATGCATTCATTTTGGTGCACAGTTGTTGTTTGGTCTCTCCTATGTATTTTCCGTCAGGGCATTTGTTGCATTGGACGAGATGTATTACATTTCTGGAGGTGCAGCTGTAAGATCCAGGAATGCAGATAGTTCTGTTGCGGGGTATAGGAATTGTGGGGGTGTTGAGATACATTGGCAGGTTTTACATTTCTTGTCACGCTATGGTCTGGATCCATTTGGTGTCTTTTGGGCTGTAGGAAGTTTGCTTCTGGTGATCATGAGGTAAGCGATGTTCAGTGCTTGTTTGAAGGCTATGATGGGTGGTTTTGGGAAGATCTCTTTAAGAACTGGGTAAAGAGATCTTCCCAGCAGATGCTGGGTCCAAAGTCAGCATGCAGTCCTGGACTTGGTGAGCCAGGTGCTACCTGGCACGTGGCTCTGGAGCCAGTGTGTGGGGCTGGAACCAGCACATCAGTAGGGCTGTGCAAAGCTTTGGTCCCTGATTCAATTTGGCAGAGATTCAGCCCAATTTGGTGACTGAATCTCTGAATCTGAATCATAGGACCCTTTAATTTCTCTGAATATCTCCAGCAAGGAGGCAATAGAGGGATGTTCCCTGGGACACCCTGGCCGTGAATCTGAATCATAGAACCCTTTAATCTCTCTGAATTGAATCAGAATCCTCTGAATTGATTCAGAGAGATTCGGAAAGATTCGGAAATTTGGACATAGATACATTTTTAAATGTTTTTTCTACATACCTCTAGGTAGCAGGGGCTCATGATTGCTGCAATGCTGGGGCATATGGAGCACAGGCAGTCCCCAGCGTGCTTGGCAGCGCACCTGTAAGTGGACCAGAAGCACTTCCGTTCCCCTGCCGGGGAGCGTGCTGGGAGGCCCCCCGCACCCTCTGGCTCAGTGACTGGTGCCTCCTGGGTCTGGGGGGGGGCACCTGGGGTCCCCCTGAGGACAACTGCTGAGCGGGGGCAGTCCCCCAGCGTGCTCCCCAGCGGACCCAGAAGTGGACCGAAAGTACTTCAAGTCCACTTCCTGGTTTGCCACCTAGCACGTGGAGGGCCCCCCCGCACTCCTGTGGGATGCTCCATGCACCCAAGCATCGCAGTGATCACGACTGCGCCTGCTACCTCAGGGTATGCAGAAAAAGCTTTTAAAGCTCTGTCTATGTCTGAGTCACCGATTCTCTGAATCAGCATCAAATCTTCAGGTCTGGATTTGGCTGAATTGAATCAGGGACAGTGATCTGAATCAACGAATTGAAGCACTGTCCCTGATTCAGGCCCAATTGGACTCAAATAGGGCTCGCTTCGCACACACCCTACATCAGATCTGAGCCTGTGTGCTGGATCTGGCTGTGGACCAACCCTGTGCACTGGCCTGGTCTGGATGCAGTTTGGGGAAGAAGGGGGGCTCCCCTTGGGTCCAGACGTTTGGCAGTGGGGTAGTTGGAGCGGTAGCAGCCTTAATTGCCATGGCTCTGTACAAGTTAATGATACCACTGTTCCTTCTCTCTCCCCTTATCAAATTTCTGGCCCTGTGAGGATCCCTTTTTCATCCAACAGCCTGTCATTGGAAGTGGTTCAAGCACCTATATTGAACACCTTCAAGATAAATTGAATGCTTATCTTGCTGGGATCCTATGACCCCAGCTGACTTCCTGCCCTTTGGGCTGGGGGCTGGACTCGATCTTCCGAGGTCCCTTCCAGCCCTAATGTCTATGAAATCCATGTAATTCATGCCCCAATTTCCCCCCAAAACCAGCTGGGGAAGAGGTGCAGGTTATATTTGAGAAAATATGGTATTTTTTTAAAGATTATTGGTATGTTGTGTCTTTAAATGCTGCTTATTCTCTTAGCACATTCCAATTATCACAAAACTGAAAATGTAAAAACACAGTGAAATTCCTTGGTGAATTAGTTAATGGAAAGTGGCAGATTAAATCACTGCAAAAGAAGCAGAATTAATAATTAAATTACTTCAGTGGTGATGCCTAGAGCAATCTATAAAGTAGACATGACATCCTTTTTTTAAACAAGTCTCTTTCAAAATATCTTTTAAAATGCTCACTTTTTCAGTGTCCTGACTGCTTATCTGCTAAGCTCCTGACACCACTCTGGAACTCTCTCATATGTTCCTCAAACTAAAGCTAGTTTGAAGGTGGTATGTTTCAATGCTGTTTATATATTTGCAAACCAGGCAATTATTTAGCACTTTCAAACAAGTTGCTACACTCTGCAAGTGTTTTCTCTTTTTTTCTTCTTCTTGGAATTATATACTTTACATTTGGCACAGCAGAAACATTCACGTTTCTGCAAGAGCATTTTTGACTAAAAGTATAATACAATATCAGTTGCAGTTCGGATTTTTCTTTCTAATTTTGATTTGTTCTTTTAATAACTCTGTGTATCCAATTAATTAAATATCTTTAATTTCAGAAATAAAGAAAGAGGTTAACAATGACAACCTTCCTAGAATTCATCCAGCAGAATGAAGACAGAGATGGAGTTAGATTCAGCTGGAATGTTTGGCCTTCAAGTCGCCTTGAAGCTACAAGAATGGTAGTCCCAGTGGCTGCTCTCTTTACACCTCTGAAAGAACGACCTGACTTGCCTCCCATTCAATATGAACCAGTTCTGTGCAGTAGGACTACATGTCGTGCAGTTCTGAATCCCTTATGGTAATCTCACTGCATAAGTTTATGTAATACTTTCTGTAGATATCTCTTTTATTTAAAATATTTGAAAAAATGAGTATGAGCTGATCATGAATACATCTTAGGAATTAAAAGAAAGTTTTAATCATCAAGAGAACTTCCTTCTCTTTTTGTGTCCTTGCAAGAAGGTATTTAACAGCAATTATAGATTAGTTGGAATCTGACAGGCCACTGTGAGCACTTCTGCTTTGGCCTCGAACTTGTGACTTCTGGGCTATCAACTGGGCACCTTAATGCCCGCATTACCCTAGTTCCCCTATCAAGAGCACTGAAATTCTGGAATAGCCTGCCAGCAGGAATAGTGAGGGTACAGCCCCATAGCTGCTTTCAAGCCTGAGCTTGATCAGTTGGTGAACGTAGTTGCTGCAGTGTCCAAGGATTTATTGCTTCAGTCTTACATTCTTAAGTTAGTCCACATCACAGACCCGTTGGACTCAGTTTTATGATTTTGTTGTTCTTCAAAGGGAGGACCTAGATAGCTGTAAAGTGAATGTTATTGGTAAAGTGGCAGTGTTATGCTGGGAACCTGGCACAGTACGTGTGTATGACTGAAGTCAGGTTTAGCAAAGTTTATCTTTTTCAGAAACATAACATTTGACTCAGTGTTTTAAAAATGAAAAGCAAGGGTAACCACAGGTGTAAATCAGTGGTTCCCAAACTAAGGGTGTGTGAGCCCCAGGAGAATTCAGCTGAAAAAGCTGGGTTTACACTAGCAGTCATAAGCTGATTGGAAGTAGAGTTGTGAGCCCTAAAAGGTTGTGCACCACTGTTATAAATGAAGAGTCATCTGTAGCTGGTGTGAATTATCTCTCTCTTTCAATATCTTCACATCACATTTGGCTATCTTTTGCTTAGTCAGACACTCAGTGGGTGATATTATATGGCTCATATTGCACAGCAGCTCAGACTAGATGATCCAATTCCCTTTCTGATTTGAAAATCTATCAACTGTCACAGTTCTAGTAAAGACTTGCCTTTTTACAGCAGATGAGGATCTGCTCCAAAACCTTCAGTGATAATCTTTTGTTAACTGTTTTGCCCTTATACAGGTTTCTCTTGCTTTATGCGGGTTCTGTATGTGCAAATTCGCTCTTATGTGATGGTGCTTTTTATACCAAAAATTTGTTATATGCGAGGTAAATTCACTCTTACGCGATCACTGTGGTGGAAGCCTGCAGTCAGCTGCATTGTGGGAGTGATGTGCACCAAAATATAGTCTCCCGTGTGGATTTGTGCTCCTCGCTCATTGTCTGCGAAATGTGTTTCTGTAGTTGCCATCCCCATAATAATAGTGCCCTGTGCTTGTGTGCACTGTCTGCTGTTGGTGAGTACCAAAATTGTCTTGTAAAAGTGGTAGAAATGGGCCTGGGGGTCAGTACAGTCAAGGTCTTGGAATGTATCCCTATTTGTTACCTTGTAAAGGGGGTTCCCTTTATGCAAATTTGAGTCGTGTGCATTTTCCGGGAACGCATGTACAACATAAAGCGAGGGAAACCTGTACTGTGGTGACACGACACCAAAAAGTATGTTCTAGGAAGCACACAAATACTTACCTAAAAGCAGCTGGTGAATTTTTTAAACACACGTAAATAACTTCGGAGCACAAGTCTCATTGGCTTTTGAAACATGCTATACAAATAAATTGCACAGTAAAGACATTGTTATTGTTTATATTGAAGCAGTTTTTGGGAATGAACTCATTGTATTAGATCCTGTACATGTGTAGTAAGAGACACTTTGTCACCCACAGAGCTTGCAGTCTAATGGAAAAGATAGAGGGAGGGAAAGAGAAAGGAGATGAAGAACTGACACGTGAAGATTCATACAGAAAGTCTCTAGACAAGTTGGACATTGAATCTGTTTTCATATGTTCCTAGTCCTGTAACTTGATTATAATACCCTCCTTCCTTTCTGGTCTGCAACAGGGTGATTTAGAAGAATATTTTTTGGTTGGGGTGCGACCTTTTTGAAGCAAACACATCTATGACAATAAGGGAAATAACATTGTAAACATGAAGAGTGCATGTTTAGTGGGCATACATGACACGCATCTAATATAAAAGCTTTTAAGTAAACTAAAGCCATTCATAATGCATTAACTTTTTTTAATTCTTATTTTTATAGCCAAGTGGATTATCGGGCAAAACTTTGGGCTTGCAACTTTTGTTATCAGAGAAATCAGGTAAGAAAATGGAGTATTTAGAATACAGGATGATCTTTTAAATGAGGAAAATGAAAAACCATTTATCAGATTATACATTTGAATTGGACTTGGATATTAGAAGGATATTAATTTTGTAGATGTCTCTTCAATCTGAGAGGTCAGAATCAAGGGATTTTTTTATGATAGTGATAACTGCCATTTGTTACAAATATAGGTCTTGATTTTCCAAAGATTTTTTTGTAATTTTGAAACTGGTACTTTATATGTTTTTTTTCTTCTTTTGCAGTTTCCTCCTACTTACGCTGGTATATCTGAAATGAATCAGCCTGCAGAACTTTTACCTCAGTTTTCTAGCATTGAATATGTAGTGCAGGTAAAACCATCAAATAATTTATTTGATCAGTTCTTTGACACTAGATAGATGCTAGCTATGGTTTAATTTTATTCTTGTTCTGATGTAGCAGCAATTAAAATTCAGTGAATAATTTACATTGTTTAGCTGTAAACCTTCAACCAATCTTGTCTTTTCAACATGAAGAGGGCTAGTTTTGATTTACTATAATCCAATTTTAGGACTACAGTATTTACTTGGTAAGGCCAGTAGAGTGTAAGCAAATTCTCTGTGGTTTAGACACCTACATTTTATCGTGTTGTGTTTCTTCAGCAGCAGTTCAACTGATTTGTGCTGCCCATACTGCAGATATTAGTCATACTACTTATCAACAGAATTTAGTACAAATTTTAGTATTGGGTCAGTCTTTGAAGTGAAGTTTATATTTGAAAAATCATGTGTTGTTATTGGAACCAACTGATTTAAAAGAGTAGGTGGAGAGTGATGCAGCATAATTAATGCAATTTGGATGTTCTTTCTTCACAATTTTCTGTACACATTTTATCGTAAGTAATGGGAGTGACTTAGAAGGGTTTAATAGGAGAACAGACCTGTGACAAGAAACTTCAAAAATAGAATTATTTAGATTGGAAAACAGCGGGAGAGACAGGAACTTCAGCAAGTTATCTATCTTGAAAAAGGTAAAATCAGAACTGGTTAGCTCTTCTTTTTGCCTTAGAATGATTGCTAATATTAAAGTGGAGTTAATTTGAAAAGACCAAAAGGAAGTTCTGGTTTATAGAGTCAAATTATAGAATAAAATGCCACAAAAATCATTAGGTCTAATATTCTGGTAGTTTTTCCCTTTTTTGAAGTTTTGGGTAATTAATTGATAGTAACATCATTGTGAGTAGAGTAAGATAACATATTAAAGGTTGGTAAAATTATCTCACGCTTCCACATTATCTGTGCAGGCCTCTACATATTTTTCTGCTATGTTTAGAATTACATTTTTGTGCAGATTCCATTATGGCTGGTAATTCTCTCCTCATGCAGCATTAAATCCTGGCCATTACTTGAAGGGGCTTGCCAGATTTCATGGTATGAGCTGGTGTGGCCAATCTTGTATTTAATGAAACTTTTACAATTTTTAGTTTTGCAGTGTTCTTTTTTAATGTAGTAATCGCTTCTCGGCCTTTTTTAGGTTAAGATCAAGTGCTGGAAGATTTAGTTTTCATGCAGGTATTTTCTTTTTTCTTAAAGCGTGGTCCTCAGATGCCTTTGATATTTCTTTATGTTGTGGACACTTGCATGGAAGATGAAGACTTGCAAGCCTTGAAGGAATCCATGCAAATGTCATTAAGTCTCCTACCACCAACTGCATTGGTAGGTCTTATTACCTTTGGAAGAATGGTACAGGTTCATGAACTTGGCTGTGAAGGGATTTCAAAAAGTTATGTCTTCAGAGGAACAAAAGACCTGTCTGCAAAACAACTTCAGGTAATAGGCAAGAAATAATTAAAAGCAAAAAAGCCCCCAAATAGTTTGTGAAGTTGACTTTCAAGATACTGTGGAAACAGTTGTTTATATATTTTTGCAAATATATATTTTTTTCACTTTTTTCCAGGAAATGTTGGGGCTTACTAAAGTAGCTGTTTCTCAAGTAGGCCGGGGTCCTCAGGTACAACAGCCGCCACCTTCCAACAGGTAGGTTATTTAAAAAAAACAAAACCTCTCTTTGCTATAGTGCTTCAGCTTACAGGTTTTTTTTCTGCTGTAACATGTAATTGATTCATATGCATTGTTTCTCAGGTAGGCTGACTCCCATACAGTATACATTTTAGTAGAAATAGGTTTTTGGCTTTAAGAGTAACCTGGAAAGTATGGGGAGTTTTAGCTCAACAGCCTCAGAAACTGAGGTAGCTGTGAAAGCTAAGTGTGATGCTAGTGAATTCTGCATTAGAAGAGAACAATCAAAGCTCTGTAAGTTAAGGGCCCTAGAGAAGTGTTTGTTAGGAGCTTATTGATAACAGATGCTCTTTTTTCTGAAAAGAAATTGGGCAAGGAGAAGAAAACTATGAGAAGACTTGGATATGAATAACATTAATTTAGAAGAATGATGTAGAAATCTTTTGACAGAAAATTATTACACGCACACGGAAATAGGTTTATGGTCTTATGCTGGAAGGTTTTAATGCCTGCCATATTCCTCCCTTGCCTCCTATACTAGGGACTCTGTATGCATCTTGTTCTTTCTCAAGCATCTCCTGTGCTCCAAATTCTTGGACAGGAAAAGACAAAGTATAACTGGGGCTCTTTTTCCTGCTTCACACTCCCTCTGCCTTCTCCTTCTGGTAGAATATTTGACCCACAACCTCTTAAAATTGTTTTCTTGCTTTCCTTGCTAAGTGCTAATGATTTCTTAATTTTTCTGTTTTTCACTAAATTCAGTAGAGCTCTGATCAGTGCTTCTGAGAACATTCCCTTAAATTGTGAAATTAACTGGACATAAGGTTCCAAAGTTCATATCCCAACAGACAAATGGGCCACCAAATGGACCCCAAGACATCATTTACATTAGGATTGTGAGAGGGTTTTGTGGTTTTCAGGCAGCTTTTAAAATATACCCAGTGGCTTAATTTTCTATGAGAGACTGAATGGGTACATTAGAGTTGAGCAGTTAAATGTATGAATAAGCTTGCAAAGCTGCATCAAAGCTGCATAAAGAACAAAGTGTGAGTGCTCAGGCCACAAGGTGAATAAGCATGAGGGGAGTGTGCCTTTGAAGTCTAGTGATTCTGGCACTCCCTGGGAGAGGGTGGGGAACTTAGGTTCCGGTTCCTGCTCTCATGGTTATGTCTCATTTTTAGTCTGGAACATGCATAATGAGTCCAGGAGCAGGGACCAGAAGCAAGGATTCCCCACCATCCAGGCAAGTGATATAAACTGATAGGCTTACAGATTCCTTTTTGTTTGCCCTCTTGTCTTTATGACTCTAGGAATCTTGGCAGCCCAGTAGCCTACTTGCAATAGAAAGGGAGGACAGTGTCTCCATATGGCCTGTTTTGTACACTGATGGTTAGGGCACGCTCCTGGGAAGTGTCAGGTAAGTTTGGAACTCCTTCAGGACAGGGTGGATTCAATTTAAATCAAATCGATTTAAATAACTGGTCAGGAAGCCTTGATTTAATAATTGTTTTCCAAGATTGGGCCCCTAAAATAGTCCATGGCCTGTTGTGACCTATTTATAAACCTTTTCTAAAAAGGTTACGTGAATATATTGTTTCAAATAGTATAAAATTAGAAGTTACAAGCCTATTCCATGATGATATCTCTGAGCTTTAACTTATCTTAAATTAAAATTATCTTTATATAGGTTTATTTAAAAAAAAAAAAAATTCTTAACAAAGAAATTAAAAAATCTGATTTAAATAAAAAATCTGATTTAAATAAAAAAAATCCAATGTTTTTGACTTAAAAAAAAATCATTGATTTGTATCCACCCTGCTTCAGGATGAAGAGGGTCTAGACCCCAGGTCTTTCACTTCCTAGCTGCGTGCTCTAACCACTAGGTTATAGGGCAGAAGATGCCAGGTAGCATCACCACCCCTGTCATGTGGCAGGCTTTTCTCAGAAGCGGTGCTTTGCATTCTGAATCTTAAGAGAGTAGAAACACCTAATGGGTGCTGACCAACATGGTGTGTGGCGGGGGGGGGGAACCCCAAACAAACATGCTTTACCAGAAGAGGATATGTGTTAGTTTAACTCAGCTCTGCAGTGTCTGTATAGATCGGGCGGTTCGGCAGGGCTTTTTAGCACTTTTATCTAAAGCTGATTCAATCAGGGGTTAGATAAAAGCACCAAAAAAGTCGCACTGAAGTGTCCGATCTATACACACATTGGGCAGGCCGGGTCCAACTAATGCAATGCCTCTTCTGGGCATATGCTGGACTTGGTGTGGGGACCTGCAGAGTTTAAAGTAAAGAACCTTTTCTTTTTTTTTTTTCCTCCTTAACGTCTGTAGGCAGCCAAAGTGCCCTGTGATTTGGTGTCTAAGCTCTTGGGAGATGTATGTTCATGTTTCCTGCTGGCTACTTCTAGGTATCTCTGGGATTTCTTAATTGCCCTTTGTACTTACCTTTTTCCATTCTCTGTTTGGGGCACTTAAGTGCTGAAGTCCTGTTTTGGGGTGCCTGCATCTCCCCATTGACTGCATATAGGTGCCTAAACCTGGTCAAATTGAATCACCTAGCTGGCAAGTTTTAAGTGTTCCAGTTCCCAAAGGGTAGGCACTTCTGGAACCAATTTGAATCTGACACTTGGACAGTTCTGGAAGTGTAATTTTTGTTTTGCTCACTCTCCAAGTATATCCTTTTCTTTTTAGTTTTTTGCCCAAATTTCCTTGATGACCAGAGCTGTTTTTTTGGCCGGATGTAGTTCTTTCTGGAACCTGGCAGTATTGCTAAGGCAACAGGCTGTGTTGCTGCAACGTGTTATGCTGAATACTTTGTCTCCTCAAGCTGGGTATGTGGTACTTGCAGGCTCTGTCATTCTGGTGAGCTGGTGACAGTGCTCTGAACCAAGTTTGGGATGGTTGCTATTTCAGTCCAACAGATTGTCCATGGATCACCAGATATGATTTGGTTTTAAAAGGTCTTATAGCAAAAATAATGCAAAAGTTAACTTCATATCATATTTGTTTCTAGATTTTTGCAGCCAGTGCAGAAAATTGATATGAATCTCACTGATCTATTGGGTGAATTGCAACGGGATCCGTGGCCTGTTCCACAGGGGAAAAGACCTTTGCGGTCCTCTGGAGTAGCTCTTTCTATAGCTGTTGGACTCCTTGAGGTAACTGTTTAACCGACAATTGTTCTTAAATGCTAAAACCTTTAGAGTAAGAAACACATATGAATAAAAATCTCAGTAATTAGTATATACTAGATTTTTCATTAAACTTGGGCATCTATAGTTTACTAATATTCCTCTAATACAGTTCTTTAATATTCTATAGGAAGAAATATTGAGCAAAAAGAGAAGAAATAATACGTAGCCCAAACATTTTAAAAACAGATTTATTTGTGGCTCTTGTCCAATTTGCCTCTTTAGTATTATTAATCTTTGGCTTTTAGTTGTATAATTACACTCAGTCACTTTCTGACTTTATTGCTTGCTCAACTAATATACTTTCTTTTAAATATCTTTTCTGTTTTTGTTTATTCGCTCCCATTTTCTTTTTATATTTTATTGCTTAGTCCTTTTCTTAATTTCTATGTTGTTGTTTTTTTTATTGCTTAGCTAGTGCAAGTCCTTTGATATTTGCAATTTTTTATTTTTAACTCTTTTGTTTACCACCATTTTCTTAGTTTTATTTACCCTGCTCTAGTATTTGACTCTTCCAGTTCCTGTTCCTTGAAGAATTATCTGTCTGATTTGAGTTACTGAGAACCAGTGGTATTGTGGCAGCATAGCTATTGTTTTAATTTCCTTTGAATTTCAACAGTGCAACCTTTTTTACCAACAACTTCATTTTGCAGCCTTTATAGTCAGATGTTCAGGTGGTGATTTTAAGCTGCAAATATGAGGAAGGCTTGTCTTGACTTTTGTATTTATATTTACAGTTTATCTGTATTCGGAGTAATAAACAAGGGGATTTCTTTATTATTTTTCTTTCTTCCTCAGTTGGTCCTCATAGTTGATGAGTTATAAAACATGGAGACAGGCTCATTTTGGTTGAGTTTAACAGAGATGCTTTTAAGTATGTCTATATTTGGTTCTTTTCAAAAACATAACTAGAAGCTGAGTAAGACAGTTTTGTGTCCCAACTTGTCTGGAAAGAAACATTTGACAAATTTTTTTTCTGTTAATAAAAATCCATTTTTGTGACTAACCTTAGAGATGTTAAAGACTAAAAACCATATTCATGCTTTTTGTTGCTTATTATATTACTAAAGCTGTTTTAATATGAAGTGCAGGTGAAAGATACCAGGTTGATAGCCCTGAAGATCAGAGTCATATATCTGACGGATATTCATAGAAAGCACAGATTTAGGCAATATGTTGCAAACTTCCTCTTGATTTTCAGTTTCAGAAGGCACCACTGTAATTAGGAAGCTAGCTTAGTATCCTAAACTAGCTTTCTAATTACAATGAGCAGTTGGGGAATAAAAGCCATATTGGGGTAGGCAGGAGCTGCAGCTGTGGCTCCAACTCCAACCTCAGATTGGGGTCGAGTCAGAGCCAAAGCACCAATTTACCCTCCTCCCCTTCCCTCCCCTTTGCTGCCTTGTACTTGAATCCAAGAAAAGATACTTACTGCCCCTTCCTCCCCCCATTTAACATGGGGAAAACTTGCATTGGAGTTTAGTAAGCGTAGTATTACTCTGTTAGGCACTAGTCTTGGAGGTCACCTAAAAAACATTATACATTCCTTCCCTTATGCTTTAGTTTTATGCTAGCATGGAAAGCAGGATATTTTGTATGCATATTTATTTTGTTAGTGCAGTTTATTTTCCATGTAAAATAATTTTTGTGAAGCCAACCACTTCAAGTGTTGTTAAAAAGAAAATGCTGTGATTTCAGGTATCAAACAAGGAATCAAATACATTCTTCATAAAAACAGTTTCCCATTTCATTGCTTCTAGTAAGAACTAAGAGGGAAAGTGAAATATGATGGGTCAGATCCACAATTTGTGTAAATTCACTTCAGCTGAGATCAAACAGTGGGGCTGTGGGAACTTATACCAACTTAGGCTTTGGTCCTAACTGTGTGTGGAACTATTTTATACATTAAAGGAATTAATCTTAATGAGACAAGAATAAGACTTTACATGAAATTAAAACGTAAGTCTTTTGATAAAGTTTAAGTGTTTGCATTAATTGACACATTCATAGTTATTTCCTCTATATAGTTATTTCCTCTGTTACTATTATCTCATGTCTTTCCTTTTCATAAGAAGAGCTTTCTGGGGTATCTTTTGTTTCCCACAGTGCACTTTTCCTAATACTGGTGCACACATAATGATGTTTATTGGAGGGCCAGCTACTCAAGGACCTGGCATGGTTGTAGGAGATGAACTGAAGTTGCCCATAAGATCGTGGCATGATATTGAAAAAGACAATGCCAAATATGTGAAGAAGGGTACTAAGGTAAGACTGGACAACATATTAATTCTAGGCCTCTTGCTAAAGAAATGCCAGTAGATATAGACACGTTTGTCTGATGGATAATAACTAGTGTATAAACATATTTAACAAACTGTATGTGTAAAGAGGAATCGACACATTTTGTTCAATTTTAGCTACTGTTTTCCAAAATTTCATAAGGATTGTCAGTATATTAAGTTAGAACCCGATCCAGTTCCCACTAAAGTAAGTTGGAGTGTTTTCACTGACTTTATTAGGAACAGGATTGGGTCCTGAATATACAGTGAGGTAAAATGTGACATGGATTTTTAAGTAGAACTCCCCATCAATTAGTATAGCACACAAATTACCTTCTCAGCTGTTTAAGAGAGATAATTGTGATGTTGTAACTGCAGTAGTTTGGGGAATATGAGAGAAGCAAGGTTCATTTAGTAATGTTTTTTATCAGATCAATTATATAGTTGTGCATAGAAACTAAAAGTTTTAGTCCTAGTTTTTTTAAAAGTTTATTGCTGTCTAATATTAGGGTATGATCTAATTTAACTGTTTTAGAAGAATTCTGGGATTTGAGGTTTTAATGTAAAAGATGTGAAGAGTTCAGTTTGCACATTGCTATAAGCATATTTTCATTTTGTATTTAGCATTTTGAAGGTCTTGCTAACCGTGCTGCTACAAATGGTCATGTTGTTGACATATATGCATGTGCATTGGATCAGACTGGCCTTCTTGAGATGAAGTGCTGTCCCAACTATACTGGGTACGTGTTTAATATTTTTTAAAGTAGTGTATGAAAGTGTGTTTTTTAAATAGCATGCTCATTTTTTTTTGCTAAGTATCTGTAAGCTATGACTATGGGTGCTTTGCATTTGAACATAATTTGCTCTTAGGTTGTGGATTAATTTGTTACCATAGCAATTCATCAGTCCCATAGGGCAACAGTAGTTTTGCCTACTGTTTCCTTGCTGGAGAGCATTGTCTCATGGGATTTGTAGTTTGGAGGGCTAAAAATAAAAATGGAGCTGACAGGTGACACAGCCCTGCTACATAGTAAGTCACTCAGATCCAGTAATCTCTTATAAGTTATCTCCTAAAATGTGTAGCAACTATATGCGGAAAATTCATCCACACTGTGTTAGTTTCATCATAGATAGCCATTTTCTCAATTAAAACTAATTATTTCACTGCATCCTGGCCAGGTGCTATAATATAATAGTGCCTGTTGCAGGCAGCTAGCTTGTGAGAGCTGGTTGTGTGCCCACTCCTTGCTACAGAGTAAATTTATTATGGTGTAGAATTCTAGGTGTATTACAGTAATTGTATCATGTTTCCTTCCCCGTAGTATTTTGCTCTTCTTCAGTTTGCATAATACTATCCTCTTTTAATTCCACTCCTTCTCTGACTCATCTGAAGGTTTTTTTGCTTGCTTTTTATGGTGAGAAGTATGCTGGCTAATGCTTTATTTTTTCCAATGTCCAGGGTTACCATAGTGTTCTGGTACTGACCTCTCTTGTTTGCTCCCTTTCTCTGGGAAGTCTTATTAGATCACAGAGTAGCACTATAGTTTCCATGTTGGTCACTCAAATGTACCTGCTCATTTCTGACTTGCCTCAGTGACTGTCTGAGATCTTCTTCTGGATGTTTTGCTACCAGTTAAGTTTAACAAGGCAAACAAATCCCACCCCATCCTGTGAAATGTTGTCCACTCTTCCATTCTCTATTCCTGTTTAATATGCCACATACCCATAACCTTTTTTCACCTTTTTGTTTGCATTATGTCACAGGCTTAGATTCTGTCAATTCTTCCTCTACAGCTTTTGTAAGATCCATCATTTTTATAGTTCCTGTTACTAGAATCCTTTCTCTCCCAGATGTCATAATTTTGCATCTTGATTACCATTGTGTCCTATGTTCTAGTGTCCTTGACCTTAATATTATCTCTGTGCAGCCTGCTGATAGGATTATTTATTATGCCCGTCAATGTTGACAGTGTTAACTCTCTTGGTATCAAGGTCTAGTTCTGCTTCTATCTTTTCTTTTTTGCGTCAACCTGTCCCACCTGTGGTTTGGGGGTTGGGGTCCCATGAGTGCTAAGGTGCACTGTTGACAGCCAGAGCTCGCAAGTTCGAGGCCATAATAGAAGCACTCATGGCATAGCCCTGTCAGATTCCAAAGAATATGTGAATTTTGCTAAATACCTTGTCACAGGGACATGAAAAAGGAAAAGAATCTGTGTTCCTTCACTAAAGCCAGCCTTAAAAATAGGATTTATCCACTTCTGCAGCAATCTTCTGTCAAGTCATCCCCTAGGTGTAAGGTGCTTTTTCTGTGTAAGTCCCTATGACCTCAGTCCTTTCTGTATTTAAATATCTCCTTGAAGACATACCTCTGTTGAGATGATTAAAAGAAAATACTAAAAGAAAACACTCTCTGTGCCTGAAGAAGGGTGTTTGTACTTGAAAGCTTGCAAAGAGCCATTTTTTCCAACTATTTATTTGATCTAATTAAAGATACCACATTTACACAAAGAAGCTTGTCTGCCCAAAAGAAAATACCAGACTTAGAGACAAAATTGAAGGTCATATCTAGCACAAACCTTATCAAATATATAATTAAAATGTTTTATGTTAATATATATTGAGCACTACTGGAGATAAAATGTCTGCTTACATTATTATTCCATAAGTACTAATCCAATTAGTTTTTAAAATACTTTAAAGTACAAAATTGTCATAACAATCGTTTTGCCTCCAGAGAGCATTGCTGAGCTTAAACATCCATTTTATGAGGTGGTTTCAAATTTGAAATACTTATTCAAATGGGTGAGGTAAAGTGATTTAGATTTATATTGAAATATTCAGTATTAAGATAAACTGATTGGTAGATTCATTTCTCTAAGGCACTGGTGCTCAATCTTTGTTCCACAGGGCCATGTCATCTGGCCTGTGGGGCTTCCTGCAGGTCTGAAAATCTGGTGACGGAAGAGAGGTGGTATTAATATTGCCAGTGTTTTCCAACTGCCAAATTTCCAAGCCCTCTGGGTCAGATGGCATAGCCCAGCGCACACATGGCTGGGCCATGGGCCTGATCTGGTACACAGGGCCAGGGTGGGGGCTGCATCTGGCATATAGGGCTGGAGCCACATACTGGGCTGAACTCACGTGCCAAATTGGGCCTGCGGACCAGATTTAGCCTGCTGACGGACCCCACACCACTCATCCAAGCCATAGGGCCTAAACACGATTGCTCTAAGGTATCATTGAAAAAAAAAACTGCAGTGATAAATCTCATTATAATGACTTCCTCAGTTGAAAGACTTGTGTTTTGTTTTATATTAAGGTGATGATGACTGACATACTGATCTTGTAAGAAGCCTATTTATAAAGTTTCTCTGTAATGTTTTAGCAACGTTTTCTCTTACTGATTACAGAATAGTAAACTGTCCCTTTTAATGAGATTTTTAAAAAGAAATGTTGCATCTTGAAGTATTTTTAGTGTAAACTCTTCAGGAATTCTTTGAGCAGCTTTGCTTTTCACCAAATTCCTTTCCACCAAATTATTGCCTGATAAATAGTTTAGATGTTTTTTGGCTTGTTTCTTTTTCATTTGGAGGTGTTTTTTGTCTTTTGATTGTTCATCCAGAGGTTACATGGTAATGGGAGATTCGTTCAATACATCTTTATTCAAACAAACCTTTCAGAGAGTGTTTACCAAAGATATGCAAGGGCACTTCAAGATGGGATTTGGTGGCACATTAGAAATAAAGGTAAGAATCTAAAGAGATTTAATGTGAATGTTGTCAGTATCTGGTGGTGTTTTTCTCTTTGAATATCACTGCAGATCACTGCATTCATGCATAAAGCTCATGTAGACATTTGCAGTTCATGATGCCAGTTTTGCTCATTTCCTCACCAGTTTTGAGCATACTCTGGTCTTAGGTAGGGACCTACCAAATTCACAGGCCACGGCGGCCAATTCACAGATGCTAGGCTAGGAAGGGTCCTCAACAGGTCATTGAGCCCAACTCCCTGCCTGGGCAGAAAAGAGCACCAGCCAGATGCCTGTCCAGCCTTCTGTCCAGACTCCCAAGGTAAGGGAGAGTACCACCTCCCTTGGAAATGGTTCAGGAAAACTGCCTTCATGGACACAGATGCATGGTATTTCTCCTGCCAGGATAAGAACAGGCACTAGGATTGATCTGGGCCAAAACGAAAAAGGGTGATATACTACTACAAGTGTCACATCAAACCCTGCTGGGCTCTGCCCAGCTGCCTCCCTGCGCTGCCAGGCCCTGACTAGTGAGGGTGATGTGGGAGGAAGGGGAGAAGAGCCTCTCCTCTCTTTTCCTTTCGCCTCCTCTCTGGCTTCAAAGAAGAGCAGCCCCATGAGCTCTGGGGTGGATCAGCCCTGAATTACATGGCTGTAACATGGCTGGGGCCCCCGATTTTTCTTGGCTGCATCATGGCCGGGGCTGCCATTTTGAAGGTGGAGCAAAGCCCCCCCCCACCCATACACCTCTGGCTGAGATGTGCCGCAAGTCCCACCCCTCCCAGGCATTGATTGAAAGCCCTAGCTCGGGTGGGCAAAATTAGGATTTGGCCTACTAGGTGATTTGCACAGGCTTGCACTGGGGCAGCCTGCACTAGTCTCTTGCTGGTGCCTGCTGGGCTGGGCCCTAGCCAGCATGCAGATTCGGCTGGGGCTGTTCCTGGTGCACCTGCAGTCAGGTGCTGCTCTGTGCCCCCCGCCTCCAGCAACAGTTCTTGCTCGTGATCTTGCCCCTGCTGTGCTGTGCTGCACCACGTTGCTCCATGCTGGGCGAGCAGTTTCAGCCAGGTGGCTCCTACTCCCACATGCGAGGCTTTGGTTTCAGCTCCTAGATATCAGATCTGGAGCCGGAGCCCTGGCACTCTTCATGGGGCTGAGGTCTGCTCACTTGCACCAGGGCAGCCCATGCTATGCTCCTGCTGGCGCCTACACCCTGGCTGGGTGCTGCTCTGTGTCCCCCGCATCCAGTTCCAGGATCTGGAGCCGGACCCACATGTGCCTGCTGAGAGTGGTGCAGCATGCAGCAAGAGCAAAAGTAAGAGCAAAAGGAGCCACCATTGGAACAGCCTGCTGGAAGCTGCTCCTGCCCCTGCTGCATGATGCTGTGCCATGCCATGCCATTCTGTGTGGGCATGCGAGCAGCTTCAGCCAGATGGCGGCTCCTGCCACAGCTCCTGGCTGCTTTTCGGGGAGCTGGAACTGGATCCCCATGTGCTGGGGCAGGAGCAGCTTCCAGCGGGCTGTTCCCTGGACAGCTGCAGCTAGGCGCATGCTGGTCTGCACTCCCTACCTCTAGCAGCAGCTCCTCCTCTTGGTTCTGCTCCACTGTGCTGCACCTCCTTTTGCTTTTGCTGCACCATCCTGCTCCACTCCCAGCAGGCACATGGGGGTCCAGCTCCAGATCCTGGAACTGGAGATAGGTGGGGCACACCCCTACTCTTCTAGGAGACAGCTTTTTGCTGGGTCTTTGCCGGCTTTTTGAAAACAGCTGGTTCCCCGTGCTTTTCCATGGGGAACTCGATATTTTATGGGAGACTGCCAGTTACACAATTTCCTTGAAATCATGTATTTGGTAGGTCTATAATCCTAGATGAGTCTTCTAAGGGTGAAAAAAAAAAGCTAAAGGTCCCAGTTTAAGTACCTGTGAAGTATGCTAGAGAAAATGTACCATCACTTTTATCTGTGTATGTAGTTTCTGGCTTATCCATGTTAATTGTCAGAAGGGCAACATGATTTTGAAGTGCCTCAATTCCAATGTCAGTTCTGAGTTGAAACCTGGGACAAAAGAGAAGCTGCCCCCTCCCTTTTACACCCAGTTTGTCCCTGGAATGAATGACTAGGAGCCCCCATTGTCCTTGAACGACCGTGAGCACAGTTTTTATCTGGCATACTTCGTATGTTCTTAAAGTAGGACAACGAGCTTTTATATCCCAGGACAAAAAGCTTTCTTTAGAAATAAATGTGACATCTGTTATTACCCTGAGAAGTCCAAGATGTCTTTTTTCTAGCAGATGGCTACTGCAAGTGTCTTTTCTGTGCAGCCAGTTTCTTTCTTCCTTAGCCACACCCTCAACTGGAGGCCCTCTGCTATGAAAGCATTCTTCCCACCCTTTCTTTTTGCATCTCTGTAAGTCTGTCTTGGCTTTCCCTCCTCAACCTCTTGAGTCTATGCTATGGCTGCATGTTCCAGTAAAGATGTTCTGGAGCAGTGCTCTGCCCTGCCCTCTTCTGTTTGAATGCTCCAAACCTGAAAGTACACTGCAAGGCAACTCTGACACCATCCCCAGTGGCCACTCTTCAATATGCTGGGGATTGGAGAACAACTGCAGTGGGGAGTCCTTAGAGCAGCCTTACCACAATAATTCTAGGTTTTGGTATATGTAAATGGGGGAGGGATGGACAGGACACCCTTCCACTGTGGTGTTAGATTTTCCTTCAGGCTCTGTGCTTTTTAATGCCTGATCTCTCTTATTCCCCTGTTCAGGGATTTTCTACTTTTCCAAAACCTCTCCCTGCAGGCAGATTCAGCTGCACTGGCTTCACTAGGCATCAGCTATCCTATTTTTCTAAACTGCTTCCACTCCAATGGAAGCTATCAAGGTTTTAATGACCCTCCTTTGTTCCTGGTCTGGGAGACATGTGACACATTGCTGGCAGAGTATAACAGATTCCACATACACTGACACATCCAATGATGCAGCAATTTCTTAGCCACTATGAGAATTCATAAATAATGTGAAGATACAGTCCCCAGTTTGTTACATATACATACTGTAGCTTTCTACAGATTCTTCAAGGATGATCAGGCCTTTTGTTTTTTGCACAAGTATAATTATGAATTTGGCTTGAAACTGGAAAGCAAATAGAGAGATCTTAATGGTATTGAAAAATAAGGATGTCTTTGTACAGTATAATTATATCATGATCATTTGGGGCATTAGATGTTGCTTTTACCAAAGCATGTTTAGGGCTAACTGCAGACATTTGGGGAGGTTAAATTGGGTTCAAAATGGCCGCCCAATTTAAACTTAGCTTGTCCCAGTGCCAACCTTACACTTACAGACCTGGTCTTAGTCACCAGCAATCAGTCTAAACTTGTAATTGTAGAGAAGTTTCAGGCATACAAATTGGTCTAAAAAGTACAGAATCCAGGTTGGGATAAACCTGGCTCTATGCAGTATCAAAATTACTTGATTTAGGTCAAACTGGTGCATGGAACCTCTGTATACTTTCCTCTAAGCAGCTGAGGGCTGGGGAAATCCAGCCACTGGCCCCAGCCCTAGGACTGCTCTTTTCACCCACTCCCCAGCACAGGGCTATTTTTTGCCCCTCCTTAGCCCCTTGCTCCCTCTGCCCCCTGCCCCATACCAGCTAGCCCTCAACTCCCATCCCACAAGCTGCTCTGGGTCCAGACACTTTTATGAGCATTTGTCACTGCCAGAACTGAGCAAATAAGTCCTGGTGCAGGGAGGGGTGGAAGGGAAGGGGATGCAGGTTTGCCTGCAGGGGTTGGGGGACTAAAAGTTACCCCTGATTCCCCCCCATGAGCCCCACTGATTCTTCCAGATAATCCCATATCCCAATAAAACCCTGTGGGTCATGCCTGCCCCCCCCTACAGGTTGCGCCTGCCCCGCAACTCCACCCATGGGTTGTGCCTGCCCCCTCACTCCTCATGGGTTGCACCTGGCTCTGATTGCCTCCAGCCTGCTGGACTCCCAACTCCCCTGTGAGCCCCCCATCGTGGTGTATGTGGTGTTGGGCAGCCATTTTGAAAAAAAGTAACCTCCCCCTAACATCCCTGAGTCTGTACGGTTACGGGGTCTTGTACTAGGTATTAATTTCAAGACTAGGGCATGGTTATTACTTAACCAATAATAAATTTAATAAGCCCTTAGTAGTTACAAGTTTAGTGCTATAGTTAGTCAAAAGCATTACAACATACTCATCCTCCTTAATCACTTACCAGTGACCTTTACCTGGTTGCCTGCATTCTCCACCAATTTGTTATTGGTTAAGGAGTAACTGTCATAGTCTGGAATTAACACCTGGTACAAGGGCTGAATTGAAGTTATGAGATGTAATAGTACTTAGCCTAGGAGACAGAGAATGTGAATTTGATGTAATATTTATGCAATCAATATGGCCTATCCAGTGGCCCCTCAATTTGCACATCAGATTGAGAATATTTTAATGTCTGTCTTAATGATAAATGCATTTTGTGTGCTGAACACTTCACATGATGTGCTTTCTGGGGCACTTAAAGGTCTAAAAATATTGTGCTTTCTTTATATTAATTTATAATTATGTGTAATCATATTTGTATTCATAAACATATTGTAGTTTCAGATATACCATCTGTTGCTGCAAATGTGCTTAAAGTGACTACACATGCTGTTTCTGTAACACCAATATATTTATTTTTTCTAAAGGTATCAAAGAAAAACTTAACGCCTACCAGAAGAGTTTTAAAAAATCATTCTTATATTTTTATTATTTTATCATTGTTTAAAGTGCATGTAACTGTACCTTAATCTGTTACATATGTTGCTTTTGAATCTGCAGACTTCAAGAGAAGTAAAAATTTCAGGAGCTATTGGACCCTGTGTTTCCCTCAATTCTAAAGGACCTTGTGTGTCAGAAAATGTAAGTCAACTTTGTTTTAAATTAATATAATTTAGGATAGCAAAATAATTTCTGAGTCTAGACAGAAATATAGAATCACAGGATTGGGAGGGGGACTCTAGGATTGTGTATTTAAAACCAAACTCTTGCACAAATGTAGGGTGCTGTATTTGTAAGCCATCCCAGATAGATGCCTGTCTAGGGAATGCACCATGATGGCTCCTTCTGTTGCTTCTTCCGCTGCTGACAGATGTGAACTTCCCCCTGCCCCATTCCCTCCCCCAAAACCCCCAACAACTGTGCTTTACTGGAAGAAGCAGTGTGTTAGTTTGTCCCGGCTCTGCAGTATCTGTATAGATCAGATGCTTCGGTAGGACTTTTTTTTGCGCTTTTATCTAATACCTGATGCAATCAGCTGTTAGATAAAAGCACTAAAAAAGTCCTGTTGAAGTGCCTGATCTATATAGACTTTGGGTGAGCCAGGTGCAACTAATGCAGTGCCTCTTCTGGGCAGGCACTGTGCTAGGCACAGGGATGTGCCAAGTTTAAAAGTAAAGTGCTGGTTTTTTTACATCTGTAAGCAGCCTTTGATAGAAGCTGTGATGAAGAGCCATTACAGAGCAGCATAATGGCCTGTAGTGGATAGAGGCAAGAAGTGTAGCACTATTAAAATATTTTAGGTATCTTAATCCTACATCGATAGCTTTTTTAATGTAGCTTTATTAATGTATAACAAAGAAATACTTATGTTTTTCAAAGCATTATGTAAAATCTGTTTACAGGAGATTGGAACTGGGGGTACATGCCAGTGGAAGATCTGTGGACTTAATCCCACTACAACTCTTGCACTCTACTTTGAGGTAGTCAATCAGGTAAGGAAAGTTTCTCTTTGTAACAAACTCAAATATAGTTATGTAATTAGCTTTTCAGATTAATTTACTTACAATCAATTGTTTTTATGGTTTCCTTAATCTTTTCCACTTGTATACAAGTCTGTTGCCATTCTCAAATGAGAGAGTCTAAATTAGTTGGTGTCTACTCAGTAAGATGAGTTGACTTTCTTTATAAAAAGTGTGCCAGCAATAATTCATTTTCTCAGTGACGGATATCAAAAGGTGGAGAAATGAATGCAAGTTTGTCAGATGTGGAATGTTGAGTGTATTGTTTAATTGTAAAACCAATTTTAAAACAATTCTAAAAAATCCTAGAAAATGTTTAACTGCATTGCCACTGAATGCACAGAAAATCTATTGATGGGAGAGAAATTGGTATGTTATAGTTGGAAGGAAAGTAAGATAGTTTATATTATCATTGTTAAATAAAAATACATTTGTATGCATTTTTTTCATATTAGTCAAATAATAATCATTGGTATTTATAAACTTTTTGGCAAGTCTCCAGAATATTATGAACTTAAAATGCATTGTTAGATTAAATTCAACAGTTCTAGTTCTGGCCTTCTAGTACCCTGAGTACTAATTTATTTCTTCATATGCACACAAAAGTCGGTGTGGTACTTGCTGGAACAGAACATTTGCTAGCTAAGGGTGGAGGCAGAAGTGCAGCTCTTAGCTGTAACTCGGAACGATTTTTGCAAAGTGTCCTGAGTTACACCATTATCCCAGACCAAACAGACATTCACTGTTGGTTCCAGCCACGAGGGGAATCTAGCTGTGGGCTGGGAGCCTGCAGCCAGGTTCCCATAGTGAGGGGCAGGCTCTCTGCCAGTGGTCACTGATTTCAGAATCGGAAGGGGAAGTGTTTCTGGGGCTCCCCAGCTGCTGCTGAAGGGTGGGGTGGGTGAATTGGAGCCGCCTGCCACCTCAGGAGGACTCCAGGGAGGCTGAAAAATCCTCAGACTGAACTCTTTCTGCTGCCTTTCCCACCTCCCATTCTGAAAACAGCAGCAGGCTGGGAGCTTGGAAGACATAAGTTACAAAAGATGCTAAGTTTTGAAATGTCTTTATCTGATACCTCATGTAGTGAGGGTTCAGATTTTCACCTGATCAACCATTTTTTGAAGCTGTGTGCAGCTGTTCACTTGTGTTTGGTCACTTTTATAGACTGATTTGTGTGGCCAGTTCAAGCAAAAATTGTCACTTTGGTCTGTACCCTAAAGTTTCAGTCTCTCTTGTTAGGTCTAGTTCAGGGGTGGGCAATTATTTTGGGTGGAAGCCACTTAATGAGTTTTGGGGAACTGTCGAGGGCCGCCTCTTGACAGTTGCCTTGCTACCGTGTTGCCATCTTGTGACCAGAAGTCCCACCTCCTAACCCCTGACCTTTGCCACTGGAAGTTCTTCCCCTTACCTCCTGGAAATACTCCTTTTGGGAGGGGGGATTGCCATCTTAGAACCAGAAAAAACCCAAATCATACACTAAAAGTCAAACACCTACCATAACGTATTTCAATTTTATTACAGAAAATATTTTTGTCATGATTTGTGTTTGTGTACTGTATATAGAGGTGATTGCATAATAACTCAAGAATAAATTCTTAGTTTTGTATATTGGGGGTATGTATGGTGGGCTGCGTATGGTGGGGGAGTGTGTGATAGGATGTGGGGTGTTTGTGATGGGGTGTGGCTGTGGGGGGGCATAGGGTATGTTGAGGGTCTTGTGTATATATGGGGTCTTGGGGCAGGCTGTGGGTGTGAGGGAGGTGAGGGGGTGACCCCTACATTTCCCCCATGGTGCAGCAGCCAGCAGGGTGCTCAGGGCGCAGGCGCCTGGCGAGGTGCTGTTCTAGCCAGTGCTGCACATCGCACCGAGGGCCGCAGCCTCTATTGCTGACACTCCCCGCCACTCACATGCCCCTATACTTGCACAGCAGGGAGGGAAGCCTCGCACTCTGGAGCCAAGTGTCTTACCTGCCAAGGCTGCGCAGCACCGGAGAGAAGCATCAGGCTGGAGCTTATTGCTTTCCCCGTTGTGACTGTGTTGCAGGCGAGGGAAGCGCCAGGCGCCTTCCTCTGTGGGATGGGGAAGGTAGCCAGGTCCAGCCTGAGGCTTCTCTTCTGTGCTGCGCAGCCCTGGCAGGGAAGGCACCTGGCTTCAGCACATAGGGCTTCCCCCACTGTGCCTGATGAGTGTGGGGGCTGCATGTGAGTGGCGGGGAGTGCCAGCAATACAGTTGTCTGGGTGGAGGCTGCGTGCTGCAATGTGCAATGCTGGCCGGAGCCACACCCTGCTGAGCACCCCACCTGCTGCTGCTGCTGCCACCGCCTGCCAGGGCTGTGCGCCATGGGGGAATTGTGGGAAGGATCCCCTCCACACCCTTCCTCACATCCACACGCTGCCCACCCCAGCTCCACGCTGCCACTGCCCCCTGTCCCGCTGGGTGCGGGCTCGGCGCTGCCACCAGCCACAGCCCCAAGCTCCGTGCTCCCTCCCAGCTTCAGCCCTGCCTCTGCTGCTTCCCTACCTGCTGCCTGGAGCAAGCAGGAGACTGGGGAAGCAGAGCAGGTCCCCAGGGGCTGCAGCAGCTTCTGTCCACAAGGATGGGAGCCAGGCAATAGGGTTGTGTGTACACGTGGGTGAGTGTACACATGGGTGTCTTGCTCCCATCTTTGTGGGCAGGGCTGGGTGGAGCAAAATGTGTTGGGGGGGCCCCGCAGGCCAATAAAAGTGCACAGCCCATGGGCTGTGTTTTGCCCGCCCCCAGTCTAGGTAAAAAATTCTGTTCCAAATGAACAGAGACTGACATAAGGTTATTTCAATCTGTTAATAAAGTTTTTTTTGTGCTTTTCAAGTAGGAGAAAATGAATTTCTTATTTCTCTGAGGGAACAAAAAGACTGTCCCCCTGGTGCTGAATGTAGTGCTCACCAGCTTTAGCTGAGTGTGGCATGTGGAGTACAGGGCTGCATCTGGGGCACATGCTACATGTGGCACTTGTGTCAGAGTAGCCCTGAGTGCTGGATCTGGCATGGGCAGCCCATCTCTGGACCTCATCTGGCCTGTCCCTAGATCCAGTGTGCAGGGCTTCTCTGTTGTGGGCACTGCATGCAGCATGTAATGATGAGTGCTGTTATACACTTCCTTTATAAAAGCAAATATTGTTTATTATCTTCATGAAAGAATCTAGCAGTGTTTTGCAGACTATTCTTTACAACAACTAACAGCTGTTTCCTCTCAACTGATCTCAGCCAGTTCTCTTAGAGGGACAGTCCCACACAGCATGCCCCAGACCAGCCCCACACCATTTGCAGCCTGCACCGTGTGGGCTCCATGCATCACATGCAACAAATAGGGCTGGGGCCAGCACATAGTGAATGTAGCAGTCATCATTTTAGGTGACTTGATACAGCCCCACATGAGACCCCTGTACTATATAAATACCAAAGAAACTGCCACATAAATTCTAGCCCCTTAAATTCTGCCTGTATTTGCCACTGGATTCATTATTCCACACTTCCTGTCCTAAAAAGTTATGTAATGATGTAACTTTAAAATATGGAACAGATTCCTCATTCAACACCATCTGTTGTGTTTGAATGGTGGGTGAAGCTATTAATGTATAGTTTAATTGTTGTATAAATATAATGTCACACCTCTCAGATTTTAATGTTTGTACAGAATCTGCTTTCATTAAATTGCATTGGATGTAACTTGATCTCCATCCTAATTAAATACATGGTGTAATACATTTAGTCCAGGAAGTTGGACAATAGGAGCCTTCGCATGATTTCCCCTGGGCTGGGGCTGGAATTTGAGCTGGAGCTGCTGCAGCTGCCTTAAATCGTACTTAAATCCAAGATCCTCCCCATGTTAAATGTGGGGAAAAAACATGTCTTGGATTCCAGTAAATTCAGCAGTTAGGGGTTCCTTTATTTTCTTTTGGAATCTTAAAAAATAGACCTCCCTCAATTCCTTGGTAGATAAGGATCCCTTTTTATAAAGAATACAATACAGTTAAGAAGTATTTTATCAGACATTGATCATTTTCCTGTTGTGTTTACACTGACAATACTTACAAGCAATTCTGTAGATGACTTCTTAATGCTTCGTAGGCACGTCATAACCAGTTTCAGATTAATTTGTTGTTAACAGATTTTACCTGTAAATATTATAGTCCTCTCAGGCAATTGAAGAGGAGTCCCAAAATGTAGTCTTTATTATTGTCCCCCTAAAGCATTAAAATATTATGAGTCAGGTACCAAAAAAATCAGGAGGTTGACTGAAAATCATGAATTCAAAAAATAATAATTTAGGATGTTTTTTTCTTCTTCCCAGCACAATGCTCCGATTCCTCAGGGTGGACGTGGTGCAATCCAATTTGTGACTCAGTATCAGCATTCAAGTGGGCAGAGACGTATCAGAGTGACCACTGTTGCCAGAAAGTAAATTTTACTTATGATTAATGTATTCAGAAAAAAATGCAGTACCTGCTTGTATTTTGTTTAATAATCTTCAGTTATTTAACCAGTTCAGTGTTTTAGGATGTACAGTGTATGTGGCAAGGAAAGGATGGTCCCTCTGAATCCTATGTGTGTTTTCTCTCTGTTGTGTTGTGAATTGTTCCATATCCAAGAAGCTACAGGCTGAAATGCCCCAAAATGACTGAAGTTCTACCAGAAGCATGAATTGCTTAGTGAAAGTCTATGGCCTGTGTTGTTCAGGTGGTAAAATAATCCCAAAGGTCCCTTATTTTAGGGGCAAGGATTTTTGTGATATCTCTGTGATATCTCTTATTGGACCAACTGTATAGTTTGGAGAACTGGTGGGCAAGCTTTCAGGCATCAGGCGCCCTTCTTCAGGTCTGAGAGAGAAGCAGAGGCAGGCTGAGCTAAATATCAAAGAAAAGACTCTCTGAAAATACAGTCTGTTTGAAGGGATGGAGAAAGGCTATGAATGAGGAGGGAAATATCACCTTATCACCTTAAAATTTGGCTCAGCTTTGATCTGTGTGGTAGAGTACAACTATTCTCCCACCAAAATGTTTGCTTGCAACTTCTTACTTTCAATTAGCTTCACCATTAGCTTACTTAGAAAGTGGGTGCCAAATCTTATAGAGGCAGTTGATTATGCTGAGGAGCGTTGGTTTTCTTTAGTGTTGTACAGGTTAATGAATTATGGTTAATTTGTAGGAAGATGTCATTTATCAAAGGGGTTGTGGCAGTCGTCATTACTGTGGGTGTCAGGTACATTTTCTCTTATTGTGCTGTATATTAGTGAAATCTTTTCAGTGTTCAGTAAACCAAAAACACTGCTAGCATACAGAACTCTTCCCCACCCCCCTTACACAGGTCAAATTAAGACTTACAAAGACACAAAGATCCACAAGCAACAGATAATATCACTTGATGAAAACTGTCACACAGTGTAATGTGGTTCATGTTCAAAGGATGAGCTATCCAATGGGGAAGAAGAATCTGGGGAACTTTCTCTGCCAGCACTCGCCAGCAAGTGGAGGTGACGAGCTGCTACCAGGCGCTGTCATCTCTCTCTTCAGCTGTGCTGGGAATGTGTTTATCAGCTGGTCTTCACTTGACTGAAGAAGCTTCAACCCAACCCTTGTGCAGAACTGGGAAGACCTGTGTGAAGGGGCAAGGATGGGGAGATGAAGGGGGCCAAGAACAGCAGGGCTTGAACTCTCCAGGGACCTTGTTTAGGTGCTTTTGTATATGTCCTTGTCATGCCCCCAGCTTTCTGAACAAATTCTTCCCCCATCTTTCCCTGTGTCAAACAAGTAAAGCATGTTACTTCAGTGTGTGTTTACACTCTGGCTTTCACGGAGAAGTTCTAATGGCAGTCTTAAAGAAGCAGATGTAAAGCTGGTTGAAGGAAGGGAGGAAAGGCAGTGAATCTTGACATTTTGCTACTCTAGCCTGGGTCAGCAAGGTTGAGAGTCACAGAGAGTCTCCCCTATCAGGAAGTGGATGGGGAGAGAGAGAGACATCTACCCTGAGATGTCTGAGTACCTGGGCAAACACTATCACCTTTTGTGTGACATGACATGGTCAGATGAAAGCTTGATAGAAACCAGGTACAAATTGTTCTGTGTTTTTCAAGCAAGGACTTTGCAGCTCATTGGTCATTTTTATGGCTCGTTGGCCATTTTATTGTGCAGTAATTACTGTGCATGTGTAGCATGTCTAAATTTGTTGTACAATTAACCAGTTAATTGCACACTAGACGTAACTTGCATCAGGGGCTATATGTGACATACAGTACTTGCATTTTTATATAATCAGTGAAAATTCCTAAGAGGGAAGGTTCAACAAAGAGGCTGTCAGCCCACCCCAGATGAGGTCTGAAATTCCATGACTTTTCTATGATACTGCTCTCTGTTTCAGTTTCAATAGACTCTGCTGAGCTTGGATGACTTCTCTATACACAACTGCTTTTCTTTTGCAGCTGGGCAGATGCACAGACACAGATCCAAAACATAGCTGCTTCTTTTGACCAAGAGGCAGCTGCTATTCTTATGGCTAGATTGGCAGTTTATAGGGCAGAGACAGAAGAAGGACCTGATGTGCTTAGGTGGCTGGACAGGCAACTCATACGACTGGTAAGATAACTGTGTCCATATTTATTAAATCAATTGGGTGTCTTCAAGTTTACTTTATTAAATGACTTGTATTCAATGGTTATCTTAAACTATTATGTAAAGAGAGACAAAATACTTATCTATGCAGAATGTAGAATTAATCAAGATTTCCAATTTAAATAATTAAAATAAAATTAGCAGACAGTCACTACTGTGAGGCTTCCAACTGTTAAGGGGTTAGAATAAGATTAAAGATCTGGTTTAGGTGAAGTCGGAATTTAAGTCTTTTCTTCTGCATGCTCTGTGTGTGCAGTTTTAAATATTTATTTTTTTAAAAAATCTTTGACTGTCTTGAGTACTTTGAAATTTCCCTTGTTACTTCCTTATAAGATTAATTATCTATTAGTCTCTTCCATAAGTATGGAAGTGATTGTTCTAAGCAACTTTCTTTATCTGAATTGATACTTTTTCTGTAATTGTCTAATTGTGTAACATTTAAAAAAGCACATACTACAATGTGATATGGAAGGAAATTACTACTTGCCAACAACATTTTTTCATGCTTCATTCTAATGTATATTTTTACTGTAAAGGTTCAACACTTCGAATTTGATATGTATTAGAAAACACTGAAAAAAATTCTAATGATATAACCAAAGTTGTTGTGTTAACTTATACTTCTATTTTCCTTTTATTTAAGTGTCAGAAATTTGGAGAATACCACAAGGATGATCCAAGTTCCTTTAGGTTTTCAGAAACTTTTTCACTTTATCCACAGGTGAGTAGAAGGAAGGTATTAGAAGTGGAGACCTTCTACATAAGGAAGTAAACAAGTGAATGATTATGGATAAAGAATAGATGTAAAAGGCAGTTTGGTATAAGGCAAACAGAGCTTTTGACTGGGAATCAGAGTTGGAAGACCAGGTCTATTTCCAGCTTTTCACAAACTTGCATGTGATTTTTGCTGTTTAAGCTTCTTGTCTCGTTTCCTTTTTGGATCTTCTTACCGTATATATCTGCAGTGCTTAGCATAATGGGGTCCTAGTATAATAGGGGTCTTTATCTTACTTGAAAGTTGAAGTACTCATCATCATTGGCTCTCTCTCGCAGTCAAGGATGATTGTCTTTCATGACTGTCTTATCTGTGGATCTGAAGATGGCTCACAAGGTCTATCCAGGATCAACAGACTGTTGCAGCTCTGCGACATGTTTCCATGCAGGGTGGGTGGATCTGGGTTCTTGAGTCTTTCCACAACATGCTGTTTCTCCTGCTTCTGCTTTTTCAGCTCCTTTTGTCATTGTAAAGTTTCAAAGTACTGAGATCCTTGCAGCAGACTCTTTCTTCATTTAGGGCAGTCCTGAGCGATAGTCTCCCATGAGTTGATGTCAATGTTGCATTTTTTCAAGTTGGCCTTGAGGTTGTCTTTGAAACACTTTCTTTGGCCTCCTCTTCAGCGTATGCCTTGTTTTATTCTCCCATCTCAGTCTTGCTTCGTGAATCTGGAGTCAGACATCTGGATGATGTGGCTGGCCCAGCAAGTTGATGGCAGATGCTCATTTCTTCAATGCCCTTGGTGTTTGCTTGCAGGAGGATACTAACGTTGATGCATCTGTCTTCCCACTGGATTTTAAAGATCTTCCATAGGTAGTGTTGATGGTACTTCTCCAGTGGCTTCAATGTCTCCTGTGTGTTGTTCACATCTCAATTCTGTACAGTCAGGTGGGGATCATGACTACTTGATAAACCATGAGTTTGGTTTTGAATATGATGCTGAGATCTTCAAACACCTGTTTCCTCAGGCATCCAAAGGCTGCACTTACACTTTTGAAGGCTGTTGGATTTCTTCATCAGTGTCAGTCTTCGGTAAGAGATGACTTCTGAGGTACAGGAAATATTCAGTGTTCTCCAGAGTCTTACTGGGAATCTGAATTACTGGAGCTTGGAACTGCTTATTAAGAGCTTGTTGATAGAAGACCTTAGTCTTCTGAATATTAAGCATCAGTCCCATATTCTTGTATGTCTTGGTAAAGACATCGGTAAAGCCTGAAGGTATGCTTCCAAGTGAGCACAAACTACAGCATCAAGATACTGGAGACCAATGATTGAGGTCGGGGTGGGCTTGGTTTTGGCTTGGAGTCAGCTGAGATTAAACAGCTTACTATTCAGTTGGTAGTTTAACTTAATTCTGGCTGGAAGCTTGTTGGTGGTCAAATGTAGCATTGCAATATGGAATATTGAGAAGAGTGTTGGAGCTATGATGCAGCCTTGCTCAACTCCTATCTTAATCTCAAAGGAATCTGTGATAAATCGGTTGCTGAGAACTACCACTTGCATACCATTATGGAGCAGGCAAAGAATGGTGATAAATTTCAGTGGGCATCTGTACTTCAGAAGGATCCTCCACAGCCCTTCTCAGTTGACAGTTGAAGGCTTTTGTGAGGTCAAAGAAGGCCAGGTACAGAGGTTTATGTTGTTCTCAACATTTTTCCAATATCTGGCAAGCAGTGGCGATCATGTCAGTTTTGACTCTTGATGCCCTAAGCCCAGACTGAGATTCTGACTGAGATTCTGGGAGGAGCTCTTCAGCAAGTGGAAGGAGGCGGTTCAGGAAGGTTCTTGCAATTCTCTTTCTTGTGGACAGCAAGGTGATCCCTTTGTATTTTCCACACATCAGACTTGTCTCCTCTCTTGAAGATTGTCATAATCATGGTGTCTCTGAGGTTGTTTGGGATTTCCTCATCATTCCAGATCCATAAGATGAGGGTGTGAAACTATGTTGCAATTTTTTCTCCCTCCTGCTTGAAGATTTCAGCAGGGATTCCATCGACCTTATTGTTCTTCATCTCCTTGATGGCTTTCCTCACCTTGTCAAGGTTTGGAGGGATTCCAAGATCTTCTCTGACTGGGTGTTGTGGGATGGAGTTGAGAACACTTTCATCAACAACAGAGTCACGATTGAAAAGCTCTTCAAAATGCTCCTTCCAATGGGTGCTGCTCGTTCCTCATTCCTTGATCAGGTGTCCTCTATCCTGAGGTCTCAAGAGGGTTGGTCTCTGAGTGCTCAGATCATAAATGGCTTTGGTGGTGCTGAAAAAAACATGCATATCATGGATGCCAGTGATATGTTGAATCTCCTTTGCTGATGTTGTTCTGCCAAGCACAAAAGGCCTTGTGCTTGCCGTCAGCATACTCTTGGATTTCCTGGTCATTCTCATTAAGCCAGTCTTGCTGTTTCTTGGTAGAAAATTCAAGTTTCCCTTTGCAGGTGCTGCTGCTGCTGAACTTAAAGGTACCCCAAGTGCTGCTGGCATTCTCTTGTTGATTGGAATTTGCCAGTTTTCCATTGAGAAAACTGGTGGAAGAAATCTTGCTTGATTGGGTCCTTGAGTCCTTCAGTATTGATCTTCCATCAGCATTACTTCTGCTGCAGCCATCATGTAGGAGCCAGTTTGAATGACATAAGCAAGTAGATGAATCTGTGATCTATTCAGCAGTTGTCAGCTACTAACATAACTCGGATGATGTGGACATCTTTGTGCTCCTGGGCATGAACAATAAAGTAGTCAATCAAGTGCCAATGCTTAGCTTATGGATGTTGCCATGATGTCTCAGGCCTGTTTTTTTGGCAGAACAGGATGTTGGTGGGGTTGGGTCCATGTTCCGTGCATTTGGTCAAGAGGAGGATATTGTTGGAGATGACCTTTCCCACTCCTTCCTTACTGAAGGAAGGAGTGAACCTGGTCAGCTTCCACAAGAGAAGGCTGAGGGAGGATCTAGTGGCCTGTTACAAACTAGTCAGAGGGAACCAGCAGGCACTGGGGGAGTGCCTGTTCCCCCGAGCACTACCAGGAGTGACCAGATATAATGGTCACAAGCTGGCAGAGGGTAAATTCAGACTAGATATCAGGAGGTGCTACTTCACCATCAGGGCAGCTAGGATCTGGAACCAACTTCCAAGAGAAGTGGTTCTGGCTCCTACCCTGGGGGTCTTTAAGAGGAGGCTAGACGAACACCTTGCTGAGGTTGTTTGACCCCAGTACTTTTTCCTGCCAAGGCAGGGGGTCGGACTTGATCTGCTCAGGACCCTTCTGACCCTACAAACTATGAAACTATGATGGTTCTGTTCCGAAGTTTTGAGTCCCTTCTGACTTTGGCATTGAAATCACTGAGAAGAATGAGTCTGTTTCCTTCTGGAACACCAGAAAGGACTTGTTTAAGGTTGGTATAGAATTCCTCCTTGCTTTTGTTGGTGGCATCAAGAGTTGGGTCATACACACTGATGACAGTGGCATATTGACCTAAGACATAGTCATGTGGTGCTTATTAATTCCAATAGAGAATACACTGAGTTGGTTTGAGTTTATTCTTGATGGCAAAACCAACTCCATAAAGCTAGTGTTTTCCTTCGTGTTTGCCCTTCCAGAATAGTATATAACTGCCTCCTTGTTCTCTGAGTTGCCCACCTTCCATTCTCTGGGTCTCACTCTATGTAGTGATGTCAGTGTTGCATTACCTAGTTTTTGAGCCATGATTGTAGTGTGGTGCTCTGGGCATTCACTATTAGGATTGTCCATGAGAATCCTGATGTTCCAGGTCTCAAATTGAATGTGTCCTCATTGATTTCAACTGCAAGTAAAGGTGATCCCACTGGATGCAGTAATCCAATCAGGAAAAAGTAGTCAGACTATGTTTAGGGCATCTTTTCTAGCCCCCTCCTCCCCACGTGGCATGAGCAGAGAAAATCTTGAAGAGGGCTGCTCAGCTGCAGTTACAGTTGCCGAATCGCACTCCTGATTACCTCATTCAAGTGCTAGATGACCTTGTAACTGCTGCCTTCATGCCCGGTCATGACTGTGAGCTTCCAGACTTCTCAGTCCTGCTCCTGTTGTCACTAGCTGCTCATGAAAGGTCTTGAAGAATGTATTGGAAAAGCTGTTGCATGGAATATGCCTGTACATGATTTCTTTTATTGTGGAGAAGCTGTTGCATATCAGTTTCTACATGGTTCTTGACAAAACAGGACCTTGGTCCAGTGGCAAGGAGGTTAAAATGATTTGAGATCTCAGTTGAGATCTTCATTTGCCTTTGCAACCATTGATATTCTAGCATCTTTTTCTACCTGCTCCACCACTGAGGACTTGTAGACCCATAGTTTTGGGTTGGGAAGGGTTATTAAAATGTCAGCCTGTACTCTCCATGTCACCATGTTCGTTGATGGTGTCAAGGTACTAATGTAATACAAATAATAATAAATCGGTTTTGGGGAAAGTTTGTACAATAAATTAAAATAGGATAATTTATAGTCAAAATGAACTTAATCCTATAAAATTTGGACCTAAAATAATTTTTATTTACCACTTAAAGTATTAAACTAATAAGACAAAAGACTTCATTGATGTTTTGTTAGGTAAATGTCATTGAAATTAAGACTGCTTGCAGATGTTTAAAAAACAAAAAACAGTGCTTTACTTTAAACTCCATGCACTCCTGCGCTGAGTCCAGCACATGCCCAGAAGAGGCAGTACATTAGTTGGATCTGGCTCTTCTGATGCCTGTATAGATCGGGTGCTTTAGTGGGGCTTTATGGTGCTTTTATCTAAGAGCTGATTGATACTGCTTTAGATAAATGCCCCAAAGCCCTGCTCATGTGCCCAATCTATACAGATGCTGTGGAGGCAGGCTTAAGTAACATGCTGCTTCTTCCAGTAATGCGTGGTTTGTTTTGTTTTTGTTTTTTTTTAATGTCTGCAAGCAGCCTAAAGGAATCGTGCATTTATTGGTAATCTATTTCAGATCACCTGAAAAACCCTGTGGCGTCTGGACTTTTTATAGACCTCAGTGGAACTTCAGTTTAAATTGCTTGTCTAAACATAAAAATTCTAGTGGAAAGATTGGTTTAGCAGGAAGGGGATTTGAATTTTCAAATTTGCACTACAAGGTCCAAATTTACTGATCTTAAAAACTATATTCCTTTTGATTGTAAAGCTACTGTTAACTCATGCTTGTGTATTTAAAATTGTATGCAAACTCCTAGAAACTGTAGAGTCAATTTACAAACGTGATAGTGTAGTAAATATTTTAAGAGTATTAGAGCATGCTGTTTTATGTGTAAATGTTGGCGGTTAAACTTTACGCTTGCTAGAAGCTGCTGTGTGCGCTTATCTATTTTGAGAGTGACCTTTATGTTTAAAAAGAAGCATTCAAAGGAGGTACACAGAGGAGTTAGAAATATTAAAGATTTGAAAGATTCAGTTTGGAGCGGTATGCTTCTGAGGTGGCATAAGCTAGTACCGGTTATTCTGAAACACATTTTTTCCTTCTGTTTTGTGCTAATCAGTTCTTGGACTTCTTTTGTTTTGCAGTTTATGTTTCACTTAAGAAGGTCTCCTTTCCTGCAAGTTTTTAACAACAGTCCTGATGAGAGTTCATACTATCGTCATCATTTTATGCGTCAAGATCTAACACAGTCACTTATCATGATTCAACCAATCCTCTATGCTTATTCTTTCAATGGACCTCCAGAGGTATGATTATATATAAAGTAATGATGGGGCAAAAGAACACTGTGTAATGGGATTATATTGGCGGGTATATTATTTGTGTTCACATAAATATTAGAACAAACACATATTTATTACCCATGTGTGCAAGCATTTGCATTTGTGCATGTGCATTATCTAAAATGAACTATGAACAAGACAGGGGCATGAATGCACCCACCTGAATTCTGATTGTATCTCAGTAGTCTTAAGAGCAAAACTTGCTTGGTTACACAACAACATTTCAAACTAAGACGCATGGAATAAAGGTCTGGCTCTTTTGTAGTCAGTGAGACTCTTGCTCTTGTCTTCGTTTGCACTAAGACTTAACTCCTTTTGTAAATCAATTTTTTCAAGCTTCACTTTTTAATAAATCTTGAAAAAATTTGCACATTTATTAGAAATAACATGGTTTATGTTTAAATATAAAACCAAAACACTTTCCTTTCCTTCTTGTTAGTTTTATCTGATTGACTGCTACAGAAAAGATCACTTTTATCACTTTATTATCACAACATACAGAAACTTTAGTTTAGTTATGGATCAAGGTCCTATTATACAAGGTGTTATACAGATGCAAAACAAAAATTGATATCTGTAAACACCCCAGCATTTACAGCCTCAGTATGAAACAAGGTAGGCATGGATACAGAGATGAGAGAATACAAACAAACAAACAAGGTGGTATTGTCAGCATGATAGGCAGAGTTCATGGGTGACCATGATCCTGTAGCTGAGACTGGTGTTTCTAGTGATAGCAGGAGAAGGGAGGGAGAGGAAGGGGTATAAGTGTGCGGTTAGGAATGATGGCAGAAGAGAGTGGGGTATGTGGGAAGGGGTGGCATGAATGAAGGCGGCTAGCACTGGGGAAATAATAGCAGAGGTGAGATGGGACAGGAATGTGCAGAAGTGGGATTGGGATTTGTGCTGGAGGGAGAGGGTGAATTGAGGAAAAGCAAAGGATCAGATAGGAATTTTAGGTTGTGGACATAAGAAGGAAGGGGAAATCAGAGTAAGGGCAAGAAGGATGGATACTCTGATGCAGAACAGGTGTGTGATGAGAGCGATGGGCAAACAGTGATGGGCAAGATTACTTTCCCTTCTCCTACCCTCAGACCTCCTCCACCATCATTTCAAAATTGCACAGTGAAAGCGATTGCAGCAAGTATCCTGTTTCTGAGCTAGAGTTTTACAGGCTTTTAATATATCTGAGCATACTCTTTTGCCATATTCAGGTGAGGCACTTATTCTTTGTTTCAGCCTGTTCTTCTTGATAGCAGCAGCATTTTGGCAGATCGTATTCTTCTTATGGACACCTTTTTCCAAATCCTTATCTATCATGGAGAGGTAAGATCCAGTCATTTTAAGTAAACTTCTTGCTTTTTGTAGGAATGTTCTGTTACTAGTTCAGGTCTGTACTTTCTAAACACTTTCTTGAATGCATGACTTCATATGTATACATTATTAAACTTGATTGGACTACTTGCAGGTATACGATTAAATGCATATATGTACAGGATCATGGTCTACCATAGCATTATACAGTGGCATGTGGCATTACTTGCTATTTCCACTGAAAATCCTTGGAGCTTGGGGTTCATTTGTTTTAATATGTGCTGAGTTAATGTTTGATCTAGATGGTGTTAGCACTTTTAAAAATATAGATAAACTTCTGCATAGAGCAACATATTTTTTTTTGCAGTTTGGGATACATTTTTACACTTAATATGTATTTCTGCTGTGCCATGGGGTGAGTATGAGATATGCTTGGAGACAAGATTGGTCTCTGACCTCCAGAGTTTCTAATTTAGCAAAGCAAAGGTTGACTGACAGAGGTAGGGAATGGATTTAAGCAGCACAAGGACTATGTATGGTACCAAAAGATTTGTATTATTTGCTTTCATTACATACACATCTTGTTAGATCTTGTGCTTAGAGATATTTCTTCAATAAGTTATATATAGGCACAAACCAGTCTGGCAGGAGGAAGGGAGTTGTGATATAAAGTTTCAGTAATGAAAATCCTGCTGATGAGTGATGACTTTATTCTGCATTTTTTTTCTTTAGACCATAGCTCAGTGGCGAAAGTCAGGCTACCAGGACATGCCAGAATATGAAAACTTTCGTCATCTGTTGCAAGCTCCAGTAGATGATGCCCAGGAAATTCTCCATTCCAGATTCCCAATGCCCCGGTACATTGATACAGAGCATGGAGGCAGTCAGGTACAGTAAGCTGTATTATTAATCAGAAGAAATGATGTGTCAGCAGTGTGCAAATAATCCTGTAAGCTTTTGTTTCATTATAAAAACATATTTTACTTGGTGAGATGTTGAAATTATGACTGAACAGCTGGGAGTATGACAGAACTAAATCCAAAAGTAGCCAATGCTTACTGCTCATTTCACCTTTGCCATCACCATGTTTGGAGCCCCATAGTCCAGATCTGGGCCAGGGGTCGATGTGAGTTTGACACTTTTGGGTTCATATATTAATCATACAAAGAGCACTAATTTAAACTGACTTAAGCTTCCCTATTACCTATACAAGACCATTCTTCTCTCAGTTGTTTTGACCGTATGAATTTACGTTATGTAGAGCACATGGGCACATGTTGGCACTTCATTAAGGTTAATTTCATTGTTACTCAGAGAGCTTTACTCTGAAATTAAAAACATTGAGATGGGCTAGAATAGGGGTAGGCAACCTCTTCCAGCCTCAGACTAGAATGACCCACCTTGACCCACAGGTGGACAGGCACCAGGACCCTCCTGCCACCACCACTTGTTCCCTCAGTTTTCCCTGGGAGAGTGCCCGCAGGAGTGCCACTAAAGCCCTGTGTCCACAGGCTGGGTCCAAAGAGACTGCAGACTTTAGGGACATTTTTACATGTGGTCTGGGAGGCTTGCAGGGACGCTTTAATTAGTGAGTCACACTAAATAAAAGTGCCCAAGTGTCACATGTATCACAAGAATGAGCTTTAGTTCAAAGCACCCCGCTGCCATTTTTCAGCGTCGGGATGCTGATGCATACGACGTTAGAGTCTGCTGGAGCACATTAATTTTTGCTCTCCAGCAGACTTGATTAATGGAATCTGCTATGATGCACTGGATTTCCAGCACACTGGAGCAGGCTTCTTGCACATGTATAGGAGCCCTAGGTTCCTGCCCCTGGGCTAGAAGGATTAACTGCTCATTGCATGTGTTGAGCAGTTTTCAATTGCCAAACAAATCCATTATATGTTGCTTAGTCTGTACTGCAGATCCTTGGAGCCTCAGTTATGGTCTAGCTTCCTTTGGGCTGTACAAAAGTAGGTCAAAAAGGCTGGGCCAATGCACCAAAGAACTTAACCAGACACCAATTAATTTTGTTGGGTATTGACACTTTTTAACTAATGTTTCATGTTTTATTTGACTAGTTTTGCATATCTCACTACTTTGAAAATTTGTCAATATTCATTTGTTGTAATTTATAAAATCTAGGCACCTTAACATTTTGTTTTATTTTTGGATGCCTTTCCACCTCCTCTTGCCAAAAAAAAAAATCTAAAGTGATAAATGCATGTTGTTGGATTTCAGGTAATTGAGGTAGTTTTCTGGGAATTCAGAAATGTTGTTATTTTAGTTGAATGATTTTTTTCCCATTGTTTTCTGTCTTTCAAGGCCCGCTTCCTGCTTTCTAAAGTCAATCCTTCTCAGACTCATAACAACATGTATGCCTGGGGACAGGTAAGTCTTTAAGACATTAGGTTAAGCTTATCCGAATGGTGAATATTCTTGAAGGAATATTTCTTTATGTCCAGAGCTTTCCAGCTTCAGAAACAACATGAAACATTGTTCTGTATAGTGGACATTGTTTCAAGCATTAAAACAACATGAGAAAAACATACAGTATTCATTCATGCTGCACAAAGGTAGTAAGATTAAAGAGAAGGTGCCTGATTACTACTTTATTCCTCCTAAAAATAGTTCAGTTTGCTTGTAAACTTCTGTTGGGCTTCAGCTGAAATGTCCTCCTAAATCAAGTGCTTTCTTTGCATTCCTTACAGTGAGAAGAAAGCTGATTTGAGGACATTTAATCCCTGTGCAAAGAATTTTTTATACTGTATCCAGAAAATCAGTCTTAGTAATGTAGCTTAGAAATTGTATAGAATGTGGACTGCTCCTTCAGGTCATATTTTTTGAAAATATCATCTGTCAGCTAATAGATTCTGAGGTTGAGCTTTATTTACAAGGGCTGGGGAGTGCATCACTGTCCTGTCTCCAGAAGGCAAGCTAATTTAAATGTACAGGAGTTCAGGAATTAGGGATGCCTGCAGCGATTTATTTCCCTGACTCTGCTGCAGCTATGGCTCATGTGCACCCCCCTCATCTGTTCTTGACTAGCTTTGAATGTAATACACAAAAATAAATATAGCTGTGGTAAATGTGAGCTCAAGGGCAATTTCTTAAAGAAGTGTACTCATTTTGGGTATATATACACATGTATTGGAGTCTAGATAGCAGATGCGTTGCCAAGTAATTTGATGAAAGGTTTATTTGGTTTAAAGCATTACAAGATGGAGCTGATCAGAAATTCTTTGACAAAATGTTGATTTGTTGAAACTTTTCACATGAATTTGTCAGTTTTAACTTTCATCAATTTTCTGGCCAAATCCAAAGAGACCCATTATGGAATAGCAAATTGTGGTTACTTGACATGTGGAAGACCCAGGTTCAAGTCTCTGGTTTGAACTAAGCATTATACTTTAACCCTGGGTCTCTTCCTGCCTCTTCCTCCTCCCAAAAAGTGTCAAAAGTTGAGTTTATCCTGATGTACAGAATGGAAACATTTTTGAAATTTAAATTTTTCATGGGACAATTTTCATGAAATGCTGCCCCAAATTTATAATGGAAATAGGGGGAAAAAAGAATTAAAAAACTAAACAGCATTTCATGCTAGGCAAGGTAGATTCTTCTGCGATCTAGTAGAGCAGAGACAAGCTTCAATAATACTGGAAAAGACTCTGTTGCAAAGTAAATGTAGAATTATGTTTCTACATGATTGGCATATGATTGTGTACTCTGTGTCTGGTGCTCAGCCTTCTGGCTTTGTGGACCACATGAATGGCATGGGACCAGTTTGGGCTGGATCCAATGGACAGGCTCAGTCCATGGACCAGATCCAGTATGGGGTGCAGGGATGTGCAGGGACAGTCTGTAGGTGTAACCCCATGTGCTGGCCAGGCTTCAGGTACCAGATCTGGCTTCAGTGCAGCCTTGGCTGCCAGTGGAATCCAGCACACGGGGCTGTGTCATTTGGCCCCTGGATCTCCCCGTGAGTCTGTAAATGTGGTGATGGGGGAGTAGTGGCAGGATTAATGGATGCAGCTTCCTGACCTGTGGCAAGTAACATTGCCACCAGTGCCCATGCCCAGTTTCTGGACCTGTCAGGAGCCCCGTGGCTGGATGGCCCTTCTCTTACGTGAACTTCTGCAAGATCAGTTTTTGGTAACTTGTGTACACACCCAAGTACAAGTGGTCTGTTTCTAGGTCATTCAGTGAGGTAGGCCATGTTTACAATTTTCAGATAAATTTTAAACTGAATTTATTTTACTCCTGATTTTTTTCCTGCACTGTTTGGGTTATTTTATATTGTTCTGGCTGACCCACAAATTGATTACAATCGCTCGTACAATTTGTTGCTCCAGATTTGACCTGAAGAGGGCAGTAGTACACCACCAAAGCTGGGTTTCAGGAGGTGATGATTTTTCATCAAGATGATAATTCACGTAGTTTACTTTTTAATACGATACCATAAGTAACGTTTTTCAGACTTTGACATATATCTGCAAATATGCCAGGTACGGACATTATACTTCTACCAGTATAAGTGGTAAGAAACTGCTCTGTACCCACAACAGAACAGAAGTTTGGCATATGTAGACTGGTTTCAAAATGGTGGAACCTGGTCTAAGATTTGCCTCCCGCCCCAACAAAGGGCAGATGTGTATTCTGTTTGCTGCTGACCTAAACTATGTCTATTCCTAACCATAGTGTATTTTAAAAGTTATCATAACATAAATATCTTAACATGTCAGTGTAGTGTTCCTTATATTGGTTTGAAGGTGTATTTTCAAGTTAAAGTATTGAAATAACTTACACTGAACTTGGACACAAAATAACAAGCTACCTGCTTTCAGTTTCATTCTTTTCTTTTGTGGTGACTGGGTTTTTTAAGGTTGAAGTCTTGACCAGTGTCCAACATTCAGTGCTCTGTAGTACTAGGATTTTAAATGAACAGAACAGCAAAGCTTCATGTTGTCTATACAAAAATAGCCATTTTTCATGTACTTCTCAGACTCCTATATGAAACCTTGCTAGTTTTCATTTTGATAGACTCCAGAATTTTCAACAGCAAAATGCTGGATTTGCTCTTTACTTGAACTATTCATAGTTTCCTATATTCTCTATAAAGGTTTTGTAACTACATAGTGGAGAGTTTATTGAATGATGTGCTCTCCTCCAGTGTATAAGTTGTGGAATCCTCCCTCAGTCGCACATGAGCACTTCCCATGATGATGTGACATCATACCTTGTCTTAAAATTGCAAATTTACTGGACAACATGCTTAGCAATAGATAGTTTTAGAATGTTTTGATAACATTAAGGGTACATCCTGATGAGCGCACACATGCACGGGCATGTGTTTCCTGTGAGACAAATGTGTGTTGCTGTTTGTCCCTGGGTGTGTCACTGCATGCGCGCTCCTGTGCAGCAAAGTGACCTGGCTGGGGCCAGCACCTAATGCTGGTGCCAGCAACCTTATGTGGTGTCTTGGGGACTTCCTGGGACAGCAGCAGTGCCAAACTGGCCACTCGGAGTTTGGCCAGCAGCCAGAATCTCCCTTTCTGGTGGTGCACACTGTTGCCGCATGCACCATGCCACTTTTTCCAGTGGTTGGTTGTTTTTGTTTGTTTTGTTTTGTTTTGTTTTTGACATTGGGATCGCCCCTACTGCACTGCTAATTTGCAGCACAGCAAATGGATGCATGTGCACTGCATGTGGTTTGCAGTGTCTCAAACTGTTTTGAGACACTGCAAACTGCACGTGCGCACTTGTTAGGATGCATCCTAAGAATAAACCACATAAATTAATCAATGGACTTCTGTAGGGATCAATTCTTGCGCCTCTGTGGTTTAATTCATTCATGACTACTTGGGCACCTCCTCAAGAAAATTCATATATGTTGATGACATAGCTGATTGCCTGAGGTGTGGTATCATGCAGATCCAGTAGAGTACCATTAAATGCATGTAGAGGGCATTCAGAGATGATGTGATTCAAAGTTTGAAAAGGGGGCCACGGTCACAGTTCACAACAGCCCTTGTTATTCAATAATCTTGTTTCTCCAGAGCAGAAATACTTGCATCTGTTTTGAATACTTTAGATATGTACTATAAGCAATACCTCCGGCTAAACTCTAGGAAAACCAAAGTGTCTGCATTTCACTTGAACAATAAACACACTAATTATCAACCCATTATTGTTTTCAGAAATCAGCTTCTACATCATAACAGTACTCCTAAATGTTTAGGAATCATCCTAGATAGAACACTGTCCTATAAAAATCACTTAGCTTCAGAAACTTGCTGGGACTTCTTGGGGACCTGATGCACTGAGAACAACAGCCTTAGCACTGGTCTACCCTTTGGCAGATTACCGTGCCTCAGTCTGGTTAAACAGTGCTCACACTGATAAGGTTGACATACAACTCGACTAAGTAATATGAATCATCACAGGAACAATCTGATCCACTCCTCTTCAGTGCCTCCCTATTCTTAATAACATACATCCTCCCACATTAAGGAAAATTGCCTTAACTAAATTATGGACTAAAAAAAATAACCTGCAGCTGCCTATGCAGGAAGGTCTCTTAAACCCTCTGTGTCCAAGATTAAGATCTAGACATCCCACTTGGAGAACAGCAGTTCTACTTAAGCCAGACTCATTTAACATCCAAGGTGCTTGGATGCAGGAGTGACTCAATTCACCCCCTAATACAGAAATTATTATTACAAATCCTACTGTTAGATCAGCTGGCTTTGATCTCCCTAGACATCTTTGGTCTTCTCTAAACCAAATTAGGACAGGACACAGCAGATATGAATTTCTGATCCATTGATGGGGCTGGACTAGTTCACTGAACTGCAGCTGTGGCCCTTTTTTCAAACTTTGAATCACATCATCTCTGAATGCCCTTTGTGTGCATTTAATGGAACTCTGTTGGATCTGCATGATACCACACCTGAGGCGATCAGCTGGCTGAAAAATTTGGACATAAAATTGTGAATAAGTTTCTCCTTGTTTTGTGATCACTGTATTATCATACACTAAATAAAAATTTCCCATGAGGCCAAGTTTATGGAACTTGGTTATTTATAATCCTGTTGTTTCTTATACAAGTAGAGGAGAGTTCAGGCCATCTCACTAATGCTCACCAGTGAGCAAGGCTAGAGCCAGAATACTATTATTTTCACCCTGATACCAACAGTTGTAGAGGTAGTATTGTTCAATGTATTGACTGTGGTGGGGTTTTAGCCAGGAAATCTTGGTCACTAATCCTAGCTCTGCTGTTCCCTAGTTTGTGGCTTTTGGTCAGTTAAAAAAAAAAAAAAAAAAA